AAAGTAAGTAAAAATCATAAAATTATTATTTTGACTTATTAAAAATAAAATATAAAGATTATAAGGAAAAAATAATTATTTTAAATATTTTTAAAATATTGAAAATAATTTATGTTTTAAAAATTTTTAAAATATTAAATTAAAACGGTTCCTGATAATGGTAACACATCAGCTTGAGTCTTAAATCCAGAAATCGGTATTACACTATCCTGGACACGAGTAAGTAAAAATCATAAAATTATTATTTTGACTTATTAAAAATAAAATATAAAGATTATAAGGAAAAAATAATTATTTTAAATATTTTTAAAATATTAATTAAACGGATAATGGTAACATCACTTGAGTCTTTAAATCCAAATCTGGTTATTCACTACCTGAACAGGCCAAAATTGGATCAAATTGGATTCTGGATTATACAGCAAATTTAATCCTCCATTTTACTTACTAAATTGGTGAAACTCTTAAGGTCGAAAGGTGTTGAACTTGAGGCCTTACACTCCCTCATAAATAATAAAATCAATCATACCACACTTAATTGGTAATATCTAGTTCTTTTTAAATATGAGATTAATTTGATTTTGAGTTTATGGTTTGTTTTCCTAATCTTGTACAAATTGCCTGCTGATTTAAGTGTAACTTACCACTATGAGCCACTTTTCGTGGTTATAAAACTAACTATCAATCTTTACGTGACTTATACTATAAAATTATCATGAACTTTGCAACTCGTTATAAAATAACTCTATTTTGATTTTTATACCTCTGAGTATCCCGTTTTAGAACTTAAATATATAGTCACCTTAAATCCATAAGTAGACTAGGGTTTTGAGTAAAATATTATATTAATGGAACCCATTAGTCATCTTTGAGTTAATTTGACTAAATGAGTTAAAAACACACCATTCGAGTATTTGGTGGATCCCAAAATATCATATCCTTCCAAAAATAATTTATAAACATAAATATTATATCTAATATAAATAAAAATAAAATTAGAAAAAATATTTATTACTTTTCAAAATACTCAAAAGAATTTATATTTTGAAACCAACCAAGTAATACTCCTTAATGTTCATGAAGCCACAATGGATAAAAATGAACCGGAAAGAGTAAAAGGAAATTAATTAAAAACCAAAAGTTATTATTTCATTATCAGCAGATTAAGTCCAAACAAACTCTCCCAATTCCGGCTGCCGAAATAGCAAAATCCATTGAACGTGGAGAAAGTTATAGTGTGAAATCAACTAATTAATGATAAGACCAAAACACACTCATTCCTATTTGAAATAATTTTCAACGGCTAACATTGATGCTTTAGTGTAAGAAAAAAGAAAAAAAAAACACGTTTTGTCAACTTTTAGCGTGGCATTTTCAACGATAAATGTACCTAATTTAGCAAAGTCATTACATATCTAATTTAATTAATTAAACAAATACCCATAAATGAAAACATTCAACCTAATGATCTATGTTGTGTGTGAAACAAGAAGAAATAGTAGAATTTCAATCACATCATCATACTGAAACTTGCTCAGCAAGATTAGCTAGTCTTAGTGGGTAAGCGTGACAGTTAATTATTAATTATTTTAATTAATTTATAATAATATTTTGTGTCTAAGTTAAATGTATACCTAGTCATTTTTTTTGTTGGCCTTTTTGACCCAAGAAAGGGGGTCTTTGATTTGCTAGGGGCTGGACTATTTTTATTTCGGTAAATTGACAAAAGAGACAAGTATTATAATGTTGTATAATAGCCGCCATTTAATCTGTCTCATGTTATAATTATCTTTTCCACTTCTGAGTTGTAATCTGAAATTATTTCAACATCGGTCCATTACTGGTCCCAACTTGCTGAATTATGACAGGTAAAAGCTTAATTTTTAAATTTAATTAGGAATTTTATAGCGAATAAAAGAATACAGTGAAGGATATAATAGGAATATCTATTCTTGCATAAAAAATTTGAGCTAGACTCTGCGTTTTCTATATTAATAAGAAGATCATTTAGATCACATTTGAAACAAGATATTTTAGTCGTAATATCTCGAGTACCTTACTAGAAATTTACATACTCATCAAGCAATAAGGTAAATTATTAGTACACTTATTTTTGTTATTTTAATAAATTAACCTAATTGAGCATTTCTTATTGCTAAAAAACAAAAGAAGATATATGGTACTTTGAAATAAAAATGATAAAGATAAGCATGTGGAAAGATCCTAGTAGATGTTTCCTAGAATGTTCGTAACCGTAGATGTTATATAATTATATATTTTTAAAAAATTTATATATAATAGTATTTGTTTTTGTCCCCGACAAGCTGCATGCACTTGTTATTACTTTTCCCTTTCATTGGATGGGATGGATTTTTCTTAATATTATTTTATATTTTATTGGAGACTCGAAATGATGTTTACGGTCCTAAACCATTTGTCTTTCTCTGGCCCTTCCCTTCCTGATGCTTAATGCTTGCTGCGGACGTGTTTGACTGTTTTCTACTTATCATGCTCAATATAATAATAATAAGAAATAAAATATTTTGGTCCCTTTCAAAAATAAAATATTTTAGTTAAAATAATTATTTTGCTACAGTGAAATGTTTCAAGTTATCTCGATCGTATAAGTTTTAATATATTTAATGAATAAAAGACATAAAACGTTATCTTTTACTATGCAGCTCGTAGTATTTTTTCAGCTGTTGGATTTGTCATTAAATAAAAAAATAATTTTTTTTGGAAAATGAATTTTTGTTACAGTATATATAACATACATATATAAAATGATTTACAGTCATTTGAAATTCACAAAATTTATTATTTTGTTAAATAAAATATGTAAAGTATTTTAATAAACATAATGCTGGGTAGGTTAAAACTTGAACAAAATATTCTAAATGAGACCTACCTAATTTTTAATTAATAATTTCGTTCATGCATCTAACTTACATGATCATGCATCTAATTAATTAATTAAAATTCTTAATTACTATTTGAGTGTGAATTAATTTGAGAGATTTAAAATCCATACCAAATAAATTACTCTTCTCCTTTCGTCATCACGTGAGTCTTTATGCACTAGACAATACACAAGACTCTCTAGTCTCCTTGCATGCTTTGTATATTTTAAGTTTAATTTTTATAATTATATAAAAAATATATGCTTTACGGTCCAAAATTAATATTAATATTATAATAGTAAAACCTTGTTGATGTCGGAGATATTTTGTTAAGGCATGAGGCAGCTGTAGTCCAATGGCGGCTTTCAACCTTCAAGTGGTATGGTCTGTATATATGCAAATTGCACAATATGTTAAAAGATGGATTTGAAATTCCCATTTCTTTTTTTTTTTTTTTCAAAATTTATTTTTTGTTTGCTTTTGTAATTTTTGTACTTATATATTTATTTTTTTTTCTAGGATATTATAATGGGTCGGCTTGACCTTGTCTTCTCTTATATTTGTAGACTTTGATGCATGGTTTCTGCTAATTGTGGGTTAATTAATATATAATTTCTTTTTATTAAGGACTCAGTGGGACTTATCTGTTGAAATTACTTAGTTTATACTTTTCCAAAGTTATAAAAAATGGTCTTCTACTTCTTGTCTTCCAAGCAAGTGATGAGGTGGCTTTACACATTATTACTAATTTATTATAATGTATAGTCAATTAATAAATTAGTGGAACAATTTTTGTCTTTTAATAATTATAATGAAAATACTAGTAACAGCTTAATTCTAGCACAAGCATATAGTATTACAAAGTTACTAATCCTAAATCCATTTCAGAGTGTAATTACAATACAAAGATAAAAAAAATACGGTTTTTCGATCATTAAAATTTGAGTTAGAGCGCAATTGCAACTATTCAAAAAAAAAAAAAAAAATTTCCTGAGATCCATTTCAGAGTGTTAATTACAATTAATCAAAGATAAAAAAAATACGGTTTTTCGAATCATTGAAAAATTTGGTTAGAGCGCAATTGGCAACTATTCAACATAAAAAAAAAAAAAAAAAAAAAAAAAAAAAAAAATGGGAGTGAAAAAACATAATTTGAGCCTCTTAATTCGGAGCACATATTCACCTTTTTCTTTTAAATGGGCCTTTTGTTAATCACGGGATTACATAAAAGCATATCTAATATTGTAGTTTGGTACAAGCCCAGCCCAAACTGATGTAACCTGACAAAAATCTACTGCATGGTATCAGTTAAAATAAAGAAACAAAGGAAAGGAAAAATAAATCTATTCTATGGTATAGGAGTCACAATTTTTCTTATAAGGTAGATTTTTTATTTTTGAAATCAAATTACCAAAATGAAATGTATTATTAAAATTAATATTTTTTATATTATTTAATATTTTAAAACAAAATAATAATATTGAAGCTGGAAACTAAGAATATCTCAAATTTGAATACATTCAAGATCAAATTAATTAATATATAAAATAGAATAGCTTTCATTGCTTCCAAAATATATATATATAGTTGCACCACAAATATTACAAACCTGAAGAAACTAAAAAATGAATATTTCCTTTAATCAATTTCAATCTTATTTTTCAAAGATAATATTATTTTTAGTTATTAGATAGTGCATTAAGATATATGTTTTATGTTGACACAAATATTACAAAACCTGAACACTAAAAATGATATTTCTTTATCATTTCAATCTATTTTTCAAAGATAATATTTTTTTAGTTATTATAGTCAATTAGATATAGTTTGATTCAAGTAAAAAGTTTCGGGTTCAACTTCTATTATACACAAAATATAGCCTCCTCTTCTTTCATATATATATATATATAGCCTCCTCGCATAAATAAAATATTTAAGTGTAATTAATAATTAAAATTAAACTTTTCTTTGCAATAAAATGGATATTAATAGGCAAAAAGGAATCAAAATAACATTCAAAAGGAAATTAAAATGAAACTAATTGTAATTACAACAAAATGAATTATATATATATGATTTGGAAACACATACAAATTTATAGACAAACCTATTCTTATTCAGCAAATTAATTTTAAACATTTCAAACAAATTTTTTCCCTTATTGATATTCTTTCCAATTTACAATCAAACACAATATTATAAGTTATAATTAACAAATTAAACAACATTATTCCTAACAATCTTTGGTGATGAAACTTCAGAATTACAAATGGGGCAAATTTTCTTGATTTGAAGCCAATTGCTTATACATTCAGAATGGTAAGGATGATCACAAGGAAGAGCTACTAATGATTCATCTCCTTCATATTCCACTTGACATATCACACATCTATCAATCCCACTTTTATTTTCTACACATTTGTGCTTAAATGGTTTTAAGCACTTGGAAATTTCATCCATAGATAATCCTCTCTTCTCTTCTCCTATAAATTCCCCTAACGCAATCAACTCTTCGTAAGATAGCTCGTCTGGATCGATATCATCTTCCTCCATATCATCTTCATCACTATTGCTATCTTGGCCTTCAAGAAACTCTAATTCTTGACTTTCAAAGAATTCATAATCATTTCCATTATATTCTTCGCTCGAACTTTCACTTTCATCATCTTCTTCCTCTTCCGAATCGCTCTCCATGTTTGCTAAGACATGAAAATCTCTCTCTTGCTCTTGCAAAGCCATCGCGAAAGCAAAATCGGAATGAACTTGATCAAGACCGACGAAAGTAACCCTACTTGCCGCTTGCTTTCTTTCTTCATCATCCATCGACCTTTTGCTTTCTTGATTGTCTTCCATTGAAGGGTATTGAAATCTTGAAAGCGCAATAGAGAAGAGAATTTTTATTGGATATATATGAAGAGAATAATGATTAAAAGGATCCTTCTTTGGGCAAAAGACAACTTCCATGCAAAGGAACAAGAAAAATATATGTCTCTATATATGTAATATTAGATGCAAACCAAAATTCAAGATTCCTAGTTTTTCCAAGTTTAAAGTCTAGGGTTAGGGTTATACCAATATTCTTATCTGGTATGTTAACCAGCTATGGACGGAGGTTGGAGCTTTCTTTAGGGATAAGGCAGCTTTTCTTGCGAAGCAATTGAAATTCACTTCTCTTAAGTTATTAGTTTGGACCTTCCAAATTAATTATTACAAAGTTCAATCCGTTAAGCTTTTGTATAGAACCATTTTTGTCTCACGGCAATCTACCAAATCCAACCACATACGTCTCTATTATTTCCTGTTGGTACTCAAAAATTACTTATGTTTTTGTAATTGTCTTCCTCATGCAAGAGAGGGAAATATATTCATTAGAGCCCTAATAGTTCAAATTAGTAGTAAATCCAATTTTCAACCAGGCTAGAATCTGAGTTATATATGCTCATAGGTCTATTTTGTTCGGATTCATGATGTTAACGTGGTATTAACGTTCCACTTTCTTAATTGATTCAGTAAGGACCAAATAGATATTTTTCCGTTTTTGGTCTAACCAATCATTCAGTTTCTAATTTTGTCCTAATAAGACCCAAATCTATCCTACAACTGAAATTAGAAATTGGAATTGAACATGATAAAATGTTCAAGAACCAACTTAATTCTCAAAATCAACTTAATTTTGGAGCTAGAAAGTTGATAAAATTAAGAGATACAAAGAATTCAAATCAGTCACTGGTAATACATGTGTTCACCACCTTACTTTAGAATAAAGCCTAGGCCTAAGATTTGTGCCTTTCCGTACAAATCTTGATGAGTGAACAACCCTGATCTTATGATTGGTACTATAATTTCCATGTTTGATATTGCTGTAATTTCTTCCATAACCATACTCCGATTCTGCACTTAACCCTACTTGAATCCGATGATTTCTTGTTCTTATATATTTCCTCAAGTGGTGAATTCTCCTGTAATCTCTCCTTCCGCGCCGAGACAACGATCTACTTGTAACCTCCATCTCCGTGCTCCTAATAGCTTCATAATTATAGTCTTGTATTTCACTTGTAGAAAACTCAGTACTAAACTCTCTTCTCCGGCGATGGCTTATGAGCATTTTAAAATTATTACACAGGAAAATGAAACAGCATTCCCATAAAGAGAAGCAAGAAATTAGGCATGCCCATATCATTTTGCAGAGGCTATGAAAAATACATTCATAGATTCCCAGTTTGTAAGAGAGATAGAAGAATAAGAGCACTGCAATGTGTTAACATAGTAAAACAGCAAATTAATCTATAATTACAATTTATAATTATGAATAATTATATTGATTCACAGAACATATATTCAAACTTACCGATGTGGAACAAAGCCAGGACCATGGCCAACTTTAGAAGATTGGCAACGCAGAAATTTTCTATGTAACAAATAAAATCCCATGTTGACCCACAAACTGAACTGCATCATATGGATATGCAAATAATGTAAAAACAAAAATGTGTAAAAAAAGAAAAGAAAAACTAACAGACAGATACAGATGAAGATATTTAAATACCTGCAAGATTTTCCAGCAAGAAAATCGAGTGGAGAGGAAAAAAAATTGGTTATAACTGTAGTGAAACCGGAAACGAACGATTTAATTATATTCCCCATATAAAATCTAATGAACATGTCAAGTGTTCATGCAACCTCGAGTTTCTTATTTCCTAATTTTTTAGTAGTCGTATAGAAGTTGAATTAGTTATCTATTAAAGCCAAATTTGCATTACCATGAAGAATGGTAATGAAATGATAAAAAGAAAGTGGAAGAAACATGTCCTATAACTGTTTTTCCAAATGTTTAGACCAATGACCAATTAGTGATGTTTTTACATTTTTCAATGAAAAGTGTTTATTTTTAACTTTCTAGAGTAACACAAGAAAGGATGGAAAATATATGAAGACAGATATCTTGTCTTTGGCCTTTGCTTTTAGTGTGGCCAGTGACGTAAGCCATATCATATGGTCCTGCCCCACATAAGATAAACGGGAGGCAAATATCTCGCCATTGATCAATATCAGCAGCAAGCAACATATGAGCACTCCTAAAAATTTTACGTTCCAGAGTTACCATAATTGAATAAAGGTTGAAATAGGTGTATCAAATAGAGAAAATAAAACCCTTCACAAGAATGTTGAAACAATCGCATAAGAGAACTAAATTCATCCATAATGTTTGCATTGCTCTGAAAAACAACCGACAAATAAAACTTTGGCACTACAAGCTGCATTCAAATATCATAACAGTAATGTCAAGTTATCAAGCCCAAGAATACTTTGATTTCAAGTTACTAAACAACCGTCTTGACGAAACCAGATGGCTCAGATCACATTCAAATTGGAGTTTGGTTAACAATATTGAACAACGGGTGGCCTGATCTGTGTATAGAAGGGCTTGGCATCTATGAACAAAGTTCAATCCATCCTTCCCTTTAAGATTCTTTCTGTAACTTCCGTGGGAGTACTGCAGCATACAAACATCAAAGAAAAGAAATGTTAAGACTGTTAACCATTACCGGTGGCTAAATCCTGGAAGGGACGGTCCTTGTTTTTATGAAGAATTATTCTAGACTTCATAAGGCCATTGCACCATGCTTAGTGCAAAAGAGCTTTCTTCTACAAACTAAAGCACATATTACTGACAGAAAAACAAAAGATACAGATGCATACACAACATAGACGTGTCCTCCCCAACCGCTCAGACAGTCCCGATCTACTGATGATAGCAATGCTTGAGACACGGTTTCAAACAATTCTTCAGCTTCCTGATCACAGGTTGAAATAGAAAATTATTAATGCTTCCATCATTGGCATGCAGCAACAAGGGTATATTTTAGCATTAAAAATTAAATCAGCTAAAACAAAATTCCAGACGCTAGCCAATAAGTGTATAACATTTTGGCTAACAGTCCACTGGAATAGTTTCTTTTTGGGAAAGCTCCAGCATGATGTGGAACATAACAAAGCCAGAGCAACAAACAACATTCCATAGATTCCTAATAAATTACATAACTTCCACTACATAATACAACTGAATGAGTAGTTCATTTCTATTCAATTGTATAATTTTCCAGCCCTACTCACTTTAAGTCAATTACTAATAAATTTTGAATGAAGCTTAATCTCACTAGCACAGAAATTAAACTTGAGAGTTAGGCTTCAGTTCAACATTTTAATAAGGAGAATAGGAAGGGAAGAGGGATTTTAAGATTGCAATTTTGAGCCTGACGCTTTGTAGGAGGAGTTAATTATTAATGAAGGATAAATATGGAAATTCATAGAACTTTACTCTTACTCTATCCTTGATGGGAAAGAGTTAGCTTTTATGCGCCAAAGAGAAACTCCTTTTTTTAGCTATTTTCCCTAAAAATTTCCTTCTCCCTCATTGGTGTAATCTGGGAAGAGGAATTTTGTAATTTGCGCATTCACCAATTTGTTGCACTGTTATGTATTATCTCCTATAAAATTAAAAATTGAAACACCATTCTCAAGCCAAGCAATCTGTATTAGATCAGTCTCAAATGATAAGTCAAATAACCAACCATGTCAGGCTTGAACAATGATTCACATGCACCATATAGTGACTCTGATGCTGTGCCTGCAACAACAAAATCTTTTGCAAGTTCCCTGCATTCAACAAAGAAAGAACATATAACCAGAAAATACAACTTTCAGCAGAACCCATAAGTAAATACAGCAACCAATGTCAGCTGAAATTTGCTTCAAATATTAGCCAGATAGCGGCTTGATTTTGTGCTTAAGGCCTCAGATGCTACTTACAGGTGCAACAAATAATTTCAATACGACCAGCTCATATCTACTAAGAGGCAAATAAGAGTACTTCAACACTACAGATCATTTCTATGGCCAAAAATGAATGACTCCAAGAAAGTCCAGGCAAATGGACTTTCCTGTAAAAGTTAAAATTTAGTTTATCAATTTCCAAGGTGCAACATGAAAGGAGATAAGGGAGTATCTGAGAAAACAAAAGAAAAAAATATTACAGGCTATAATTTAGTAAAAATTATTGAAGAACACTAAAGGAACAAAAGGAACATTCAGAACATTCTTGAGCTTTCTGCCAATCAATTCAATAAAATATAAATAATGAATCCTTAATGTAGATACTAGAACATTTAAGTCACTAAGGAAACTCTGCATTGTGTGAATTGAGTTTGAGACAATAATAAAGGGAAGAAATTCAACATACTTGGCACCAATAGAGTCCGTTGTGCATATGAAGGGCTTATCTTCATCACTCAATCCAGCGATTACAGGTTGGCAGAAGTATGGACCAAATCTGAGATAGAGTAATAACTGCATTTCATTTTTTATGCACGCAATAGAAAACATAGATGCTCTAAATAAACTGTGTAATATAGAGAATTTTAGAGCAAGTAACTGAAACAAAAACAGTAGAAACAGATATTAAAAGATAAATAACCAAAATCAGAGTTGAAAACAGTGCTAGAGTTTTCCCAAATTGACCAGGAACAAATTTCATCCGAAGCATATTGTACTGTGCTATTTACCTATGCATTGAGTGCACCATATTGAATAAAAAATTTATATAATAGTATCTACAGTGATGGCAAATTTATTCATAATCCCTCAATTCAATGTCACCTAAAAAATCACTTACAAAGAAGGCTAAGATTACGTTCTTTTTTCCTTTACTTTAATAAAGAGCATTTTTCAACATGGAAAACTGAATTACATGTTCAGTATGTAAATGCATAAAATAAGTGTTGCTACACAAGAGTTTCCAAACACGACTATTCCAACATATCCAAATTGCTTTCGGTAAGATACAAAATGCCATTTTTCTACTCAATAGATCACTTCAGCTTATTAACGATGGCACCGACTTCAGTTCCTTAAGGTTTGACAATGTATAAACCCTCAAGCACTTTTGCTATCTCAGCCTTAATATTAACAATAAAGTTACGAGTATAACCCAGCACACAATACTATACACAAAGCTGATAAGCATCGCACTAGCTGCCTTTTCTTTTCAAATAATAATGATGTTATATGATGTGAAAGTGCATAAAAGAAACAATTTTTGCCGATAGTTATTAGACCTTAATGAGAGAAAAAAAAAAAGAAGAAAAAAACATTGACACGCCTTAAGAAGATACAGATGTAAATTAATTCCAGGAGCGAGAACAATCATGAAAGCTAATACTGGCAGTCACGACCATTAATTGGAAAAAGGAAAAACTTCACACCTTTTCTCATAAAGGAGAGCAGAGACAAGACTAGCAAATGTCTCAGGCTTCATGTCCCTCTCTTCTCGAAGCTGATACAATTTATGCCGGAAAACAAGCCTCTGGTACCTAAACATCCCAATAAATAAGTAAACAGAAGGATAAAAAAGGACAAAAATAACACCACAAGCTACAACAAAATCCTATTAAACTAGATAGAGAAAGAAAATACAGAGTTTGCGCGTCAGTAGCTAGGCCAGAGAGACCAAGGAAGAGCTTATCGTGGATTTTATAGATTCGCTGGAAATCAGTGGCGATGGTTTGAAGCTGGACACCAAGTCGCCGATCGCTGGCTATGGCGAAGCAGTTTTTGCCCACCATCGCAATTAGGGCACTTCCATTGTACTCGAAGATCTGCAATTGACTCCCATATCAATTATCTGGCACGCTCATACACGAATTTATACTGAAATTAGGGTTTTGAGAGAGAGAGAGAGAGAGAGAGAGGGGAGAACTTACCGACATTGAGATTGAGTTGGAGAGGGTATAGCGAAAAAGGCAAACGGAATGAGATCGTTGTTATTTCAATAGAGGGAGCTTCTGAAGAAAACAAACTGAAAAAGAAAAGCTACAGATGTGTAATGGTGGTTTTGGCTTGGGTGTTACTCCAGGCTCTTACTTCCAGCCGAGAAAAAAGATCCGACCCGCTTTTCGGCACCGTAATTCAGGAGGTGCTGCTGATTTGAATTTGGGCCGGTATAGTGAAAACGAAAAATGGACATTCGACCTTCCAAAGATTTATGGGCCTATAAAAGCCCATAACTAGAAAGATATACCGAGACTCATGATGGATATAAAATAATTAGGTTATTACAAATACAAGGTGGTAATAGAGAAAGAACATAAAAAGATATATTCAGATTTATAATGGATAGTAAATAATTTGTTTATTAAAATGTGGAAGGAGATTTATATGCACCTACCAGATTATGTCGTGATCTAGTGAAAAGATTTTAAACTAAAATAATTTATATTTATATTGAAATCGACAATGACCAATTAAAAGATTTTCTATTTATATTTCAATTCTTGTATATGGATATTTTTAATTCGAGTTACAAATATAAGGAAACGAAACAACTAATATTTAAAAATTTTTTAATTAAAATATTATTAATATGAAGGAATTTTAGGCAAATTTTATAATATATGAGGTTGAATCCTCCAATGTTATACATAACTATTTGTACTTGTAAAACTTTCCCTTTGAAAATTTACATTTTGTCTGAAGATTAAGATATTGTTAGTTTGTTTTATATATGAGCATCTATCTTTCTATCCAAAAGTTGGATATAATAGATAAGTAAGCAGTTTAAAATTTTTTAAATTATATATTTTTTTAATTTATTTTTTAATAAATATAATTGATATAATAGATTAAGTAAAGCCCAGTTGTAAAATTTTTAAATTTAATATTTTTTTTTATTTTTTAATAAATATATATGATAACGTGATAATGATATTTGAAAATTTTTATATTTTATTTTTTAAGTTTTGATTATAATTTAAAAGATTTTATTTTTTTTATTATAATTTAAATTTAAAATTTAATTATAGTAGTGATTCCTATAATTTTGTAGTATTTTTCTTTATACTGACCCTACTGGCTCATATTAATCCTATTGGCTTCTCTTCTCTTAAACAGATGCATGCTGATTTAAGACTAATTTCTCGAACTCCTTTTGGCAAACTAAAGCAGCTAGGTTGGATTATATTATGTTGCTAAAAAATTTTAAAATCTTATATATTTAAATTTTTAAATTTTAAATACAATTATAGATAAGATTTCATCTAAGAATCTATCTAAGAATCAAAACCAATCGAAATATAATTTTTAAAAAAAATTAATTTCATTACATTATTTTATTTTCTAGTTAATAATCAGAAATATCATTATTTCAATCAAATATTAATTAATTTAAATGATTTAATTTATTACAGGTGGGTCCATAAATTTGGTCTAACTTTTTTTTTTTTTTTTTTTATTTTTTTGTTTTTTGGATACATTCGCAATTTGCGAGAAAGCTAGATTTTAAGAAGAATAAGGAGAGGGAATCCGTCCCAGAAGACTACCAAAAAGAGCGGAAGATCCTCTGTTTCCATTATGTTTCCGGGTTTTTCTGTTTGGCTGGATCGTTCATAATATATATATTTCCAGTTTTAAAAAGAACATTTCTTTCCAGTATAATAGTTTTTTTTTTTTTTTTTTTGGATACATTCGCAATCTGGAGAGCTAGATTTTAGAGAATTTAAGAGAGAATCCGTTGCCCATAAGACTACAAAGAGCGGAAGATCCTCTGTTCCATATTTTCCGGTTTTTCTTGTTTGGCTGATCTTCATATATATATATTTTCAGTTTTAAAAGACATTTCTGATATAATAGTTGTCATTATTTCATCACTCGAAAACACTAAACTATCTGAGCTCAGTTAATTAGTTATGGAGTTCCAAACAACACATTGTGCTCTCATTTGGTTACTGTTAATGGCAATTCTTAGCTTGCAAGGACATGGAATAAACAATGTAACCTACGACGGAAGATCTCTGATCATCGATGGCCACCATCGAATTCTCTTCTCTGGTTCTATTCATTATCCTCGCAGTACTCCTGAGGTGCGTATTAGTAGTTTCCTTCTTCTGTTTTTCTTTTTATTCGTGAAAGTTGGAATTTTATTTTCAATTTCCTCCTGATTTCAACAATGAAGAATGAAAGTATTTTGCATGCGATAATTTGGTGGAGAAAGTATTTTGCAGATGTGGCCATCTTTGATATCTAAAGCGAAGAACGGAGGAATAGATGTTATACAGACATATGTATTTTGGAACCTCCATGAACCGCATAGAGGACAGGTGAGTGTCTGTCTTTTAGTCATTCTCCTTTTCCTTTTGTTCTTTCTGTAACTTTTGTCATATATAATGGTTGCAGTATGATTTTAGTGGAAGAAAAGATATAGTAAAGTTCATAAAGGAAATACAGGCCCAGGGGCTCTATGTTGCCCTTAGAATTGGTCCCTATATCGAAGCTGAATGGACTTATGGGTAAGAAACAGTGGGAGACCACTCTTATTGTCACTTTAAGTCTGAGTCCACTGTAAAACGAGACAGTACAGAAGCATAATAGAATAATTTTGATGGTGCAGCGGACTCCCTTATTGGTTGCATGACATTCCAGGAATTGTCTTCCGATCTGATAATGATCCTTTCAAGGTATCAAACAAAAATTACAACAAAAATAATTTATATTTCAATATTTCATGGTCAAAGCTATCCCTAACCTTAGTTTCATTTTGGAAATGGCAGCATCACATGCAACGTTTTGTAACTAAAATAGTAAACATAATGAAGTATCATAGATTATATGCCTCGCAAGGAGGGCCTATCATAATATCACAGGTTTGGACAATGATAAATAATTGCAATAGTATGATTTATCCGCAAGTATTATGATCTAAAAGTAATATGCATTGCATACAGATTGAGAATGAGTACCAAAATGTCGAAGCAGCCTTTCATGAGAATGGACCAAGATATGTTAATTGGGCTGCATCCATGGCAGTGAGACTTCAAACTGGTGTCCCCTGGATGATGTGTAAGCAAGATGATGCACCTGACCCAGTGGTTAGTTCCCTTGGAAAAGCTTTCATGGGATTTCAAATTGTCTTTTTCAATTCCCTGCAAGTGAAAAATCAAGATATTCTTCCTTATATTTATGTGCATGCATATCTCATAAAATATATTGTGAATTATAGAAGGAATTTCATTGAAATGCATGTGAACAACAGCCCTTTTCTCCTTGTTCATTAGAAATGATTTTAAAGTAACAAGTTTAACTCTTTCAATCTGCAGATTAATACATGCAACGGAATGCGATGTGGAGAAACATTTAAAGGTCCCAACTCGCCAAATAAGCCAGCAATGTGGACTGAGAACTGGACAAGTTTGTATGTTTTAAAGAAACACGTTATTGCTTTTCTGAAATCAGAGAGCTTACAAATAACTAACTCAAACAGATTAGCAATAAATTTTTTTACGAATAAAAGGAAAAGGAAGATGTAGCATCAATATAATTGCAAGCCAATCTTGTAAATGAAATGGTAAACCAAGAAATTGTATATTGAAACCAACTATTGCCTTCATATTTTCTGAAGCTATCAAACATACGGTGGAGAGACTTACATGAGATCAGCTGAAGACATAGCATTTCATGCTGCTTTATTCATTGCGAAAAAAGGAAGCTACATAAATTATTACATGGTATGATAGCCACATCTGTGATTGTCTAAGTAACATATAGTGCATTCGATGACTTCTTAGAATTTTAGTTTCACAATTCAAATGTTTAGTATCATTTAGCCACATCTCCGATTTATCATAATCATGGTTGCAATTATTTTATTCTCTTTAACAATATTTTTTCTGACTATTTTCTCTACTAATAGTATCATGGAGGAACCAATTTTGGAAGAACAGCTTCAGCATTTATGATAACAAGCTATTATGACCAAAGCCCCCTTGATGAATATGGTATGTTTTCCCAAATTAAGTTGTGTACATTAATTCATAAAGTCACAATGTATGCTCATTTAATTGGTGAGTTCAGGTCAAATCAGCCAACCAAAGTGGGGTCATCTTAAGAAATTGCATGCCACAATAAAGTCATGCTCAGACACACTACTTCATGGAGCAAATTATACTGTTCATTTGGGTAAACTACAACAAGTAAGAAAACGAAAGAACTCGAGAATAGTTCTGTCCTAGGATAACTAAGAGAAATTTTGTTTCCTTTTGGATAACACATAAGCATAATGAATATTGGACTTCTTTCATCTATCCAGGCCTATGTTTTCAAGGAAAATTCAGGAGCATGTGTTGCCTTTCTAGTAAACAATAGTAGCAGAAGAGATGCCCAAGTCCTCTTTCAAAATATTTCGTATCAGATCCCCAGAAAGTCAATCAGCATTCTACCAAACTGCAAGACTGTAACCTTTAATACGGCAAAGGTAAGGCCTACATGCACATACTGATACTGGGACATTATTTTTTTTATTGAATATTTTTTACTTTTACATGGTTTTCCATATTATAGTATGTTTATTTGCTTAACTCAGTTGCTCCGTGGATAGGTAAACACACAATACAATACAAGGTCTATGATAAAGAGCCGACGGTTCAATCCAACAGAAACGTGGGAAGAATATGAAGAAACTATTCCTGCATTTGACAAGACTTCTTTAAGAGAAACATCTTTGTTAGATCACATGAGCATCACGAAAGATCAATCTGACTACCTTTGGTACACTTTCAGGTAAACCAACTTGCTGGAGTTATAATATTAAAAGGGTCAAATTTGATTGAGATATTCTGAACTACATCATCTACTAAAGACAATATACTGTAAAAATGCAGGTTTAAAAATGATTTTCCCAATGCTCAAGCTGTGATACAAGCTTTCTCACATGGACATGTTCTACATGCATACATTAATGGAGTATATGCTGGTAAAGTTCTCTCTATATATAAGATTTTTGAGATGAAGAAAATAGACCATGATTTTAAATTAGAGTCACAGATATTCTGTCTTTAAAGATGCTAACGAGCGATCACAAGCATTGCAGTAATGAACATTTTACCTGTGTTACTGATTGCACACAGAATAACTGGTACATGGAAACCACTAACCAGAAATAGCGTACATCAATAGAATTTTGATCCCTGACAGCTGACACAGAATAAGATATGGAAAAGGAATGGCCAACCAACAGTGCGTAAGGAGCACAATATAGTTATTTGTGAGCACTTGAGTCCTTGTTTGCCGAAAGGTTTCTAATGTGGCTTTCCCATGAATAACAGGCAACTGACATTAACTAACATTAGAGGCATGATGAAACTACAACCTTGTAAAATTCTGTCCAACAAAAGCAAGGTATTTTTCACAAAGTGTTGCCTGTTATTCAGTAATTTGGTCTGATAAATGCTGTTTAAAGAGTCAAATCTCAGGATGTTCCATAAACTTTTGACAGATAATTTCAGTGTTTGATACCATTTATGCTGTCCAAAATTTTCTAATACTTATATTGATTAATTATGATGTTATTAAGCAATCGTGTTGTTTAGGGTCCGCGCATGGAAATCATTCGAATCCAATTTTCACTTTGGAGAATTCAATTTATCTGAAAGAAGGGGAAAACGATGTTGCCTTACTCAGTGCAACAGTTGGATTACCGGTACTTTCTCTCTCCTTCATCCCTAGAATGAACCAAAAAAAGAATATTCTGATCGGCACATGATTTCCATTTAACACAATTATTTGTTCCACAGAATGCAGGAGCATATCTTGAGCGTAAGATTGCTGGATTACGTAGAGTAAGCCTTCAAAACAAGGATTTCACTAGATATGAATGGGGATATCAGGTTCTTTCCTTCTACTAATACAATGTCAATTCTGCTTCCTGCAGAAGGATAAAACCTAGCTAATTTTTTGCGCTCATTTTCTTCATACTAGCAATCTTTGACAATATTCTATGCCAATGGCATATATTTTTGCCTGAAATGAAGGCTGTTATTTCTTTCCTTCTACATTTAATAGATTACAAAATTTAATGAGATTGTCCTGATTCTACAAAAACATCTCATAAAGGTTGGATTGGTGGGAGAGGAGTTACAAATTTACACAGAAAAAGGATCCAGTAACGTCCAATGGAACAAATTTAAAGGTTCTTCTCAACGACCACTGACATGGTATAAGGTATGAACATTTGATTGCTAATTCCTTCCTTTTTTATTCTGAATAATTCTGATTCAAAGAATTAAATATATAATTACTATTATTCGGTTTAAACATGAAAATAGAATACAAAGTGTAGTATACCAACACATAGCACCTGATATGAGTGTTTCTTAGTAAATTTACTATTTGAAATATCTCTCATTTTGTATTTGGCAGACTCTTTTTGATGCGCCTGCAGGGAATGACCCAGTTGCACTGAACCTTCATTCAATGGGAAAGGGTGAAGCTTGGGTTAATGGCCAAAGCATTGGCCGGTATTGGGTATCATTCCATACTTACAAAGGACGTCCTTCCCAAACATGGTATTTGACTTAATATCATGCAAATATTTGTTAAGGTCACACCATATGATATTTCCTTTTTCACAAGCCAATTTTGTATTCTCCTAATGATTTTCAAATAAACATATAATTATTATGCACTTCACTATGTGTGTTTAAAAAGGAATATTTCTTTTCAAATACTCAGAGAAACTCAATTTTTTAAAAAAAGAAAAATTTAATGTGCATTTGGTTACTGGTAGTGGCTTCCATCTTTTCTCTCAATACTTTTTTTGCCTGAGATAAATCTTTAGCATTCAACACTGTCCTTTACTAATGCCTGATCTACTGTTCTAGGTATCATATACCTCGATCTTTCCTCAAACCAACTGGCAATCTATTAGTTCTGCTAGAGGAAGAACAGGGGTACCCCCCTGATATTACAGTAGATACTATTTCAATCACAAGAGTATGCAGGCATGTCTCTGAATCACATTTCTCAGCAGTTCATCTTAGTTGCCCTCGAAACATGAAAATTTCCAGTATCCAATTTGCAAGCTTTGGAACTCCTGTGGGTAACTGTGAAAGTTATGCCATTGGAAACTGCCACTCATCAAATTCTAAAGCCGTTGCAGAAAAGGTGAGCCTTACTTTCCAAAATATAAAATTCAAAACTTGAATATCAATACTTAAATGCTTCATTTTGTTGGCAAGAGCATTAAAGAAGACTAGGAAAAAGGAATTTCAGTTGTACAGTTAAGGGGCATTTACTTTCAAGGGAAAATGGAGTCTATTTTCATCTCAATTTTTGCATTTGTCAGATCACAAATTCAAATCATGAAAGCCACTTGCAATTCAAGTTCAATGTACATATCATGTACAAGATTTTTTTTTTTTGGCTTGGAAAAAATACAGAAAATAACTTTAAAAATGGAGAACATTTCATAGAGTTGAAAACTAGGAACATAAAAGTAGTAGTTCTCAAAGTTTATATTCAAATTGAGATAATTGAAGTGTTTAGCGTGTGTGAACTTAAGGTTCTACGTCACCTGTTATAGTAAAAACACCAAAAAATTTTCTGATGTTTGAATTCTTCTTTCCCACCTGAGACCTTGTAAGATAGATCTCGATTCCATGCATTATTTATCAATGTGAATAATAAAATACATCATGCATCTTTCATCAATACAAGTTTAAATAGTTTTAATTGAAATATAATTTCACAGGCATGTATAGGGAAGCAGAAGTGTTCAATCGTCCGATCAAATCAATTTTTTGGCGGTGACCCATGTCCAGGAATCCCTAAAGCACTGCTAGTTGCTGCCGAATGCACATGACAGACACGAGTTCTAGATTAAGGAATTCATTATTCAATTTTTGAATGTTATATGTAGATGGATAGCAAATCATTTTTAGGGTGTTAACACCAATTAGATAGCTTTCAGTTATAATCTCAAACTCTTCATTTCCTGTACACAGCCTTTTCACTTGTTTTGCACATTTTAGTTGTCAAGAAAACAAAGGAATACAAGAATAAGATTTTCTTTTTTAGTATTTCAATGGATTCTGTATAACTTTGTAATCATTTAATCACAGAGTTTGACTTCAATTTACAAGAGAAAATAAAGATACAAACTGAAAAGCCAAGAATATGATAAGGGGGAGAGCTATCCTTCTAAATATGCCGGTTTACAGAACCAACCTGAAATTATGTGTGGTTCAGATATCGCCCTCCAAGGCTCCAACAAGTAGTGCAAGTGCCACCACAGATTACTTTCCAGAATCTTCGCTTGCTTGGAGATCTTGAGAGCTACGGCTCTGTTCTTCAAAAAAAAAAAAAAAAAAAAAGAAAAAGCAAGAATATGATAAGGGAGACTTGATTCCTTCTATAAGTATGCGGTTACAAACCCAACCTGAAATTATGTTTGTGGGTTCAATGATCGCCCTACCAAGGCTCCAACAAGTAGTGCAATTTTGCCACCACAAATACTTCCAGAATCTTCGCTTGCTTGGAAGATCTTGAGAGCTACGGCTCTGTGGTTCTTACAAAAAAAAAAAAAAAAAAAAAAATGAAACGCCGACCATAGAGTGCTTGTAGTATCAATCCAATAGTCTTAAAACTCAATCATGTAAACTTATAGCTTCAATACCACCTGTTCCACTTTTAACAAACCTTTCTTAGTAGCAGAATTCTTTCTCATTGATAGTTCCAAAATGGAAGTTAAAAAGATTTTTGTGAGGGCAAGCTCAGCCAGATAAAAAAGAAGAGTTTGTGCCCATTCCTGCATATTTCCCATAATTTGCTTTTGACCAAATGCCATCTGCCAACTCGGCTGCATAACTATTGGGTTGACAGGGACGAAAAAAAAAAAAAAAAAAAAAATGAATCACATAGAGTGCTTAGTATCAACAATAGTCTTAAACTCAATCATGTAACTTATAGCTTCAATTACCACTGTCCACTTAACAACCTTTCTTAGTAGCAGATTTCTTCTCATTGATAGTCCAAAAATGGGAAGGTAAAAGAGTTTTTTGTGAGGGCAACTCAGCAATAAAAAGAAGAGTTTGTGCCCATCCTGCATATTTCCCATATTTGCTTACAAATGCATCTGCCACTCGGCTGCATAACTTGGGTGTCAGGCGGACAGCTGCAAGCTCAGGCAGGAGGTATCTTGTAGCGATCTACACAACTCCGAAAGGAACATTTTGATATCAAAACTTCATCCCTCAACACATAATATAAAATATTATGATGCACTGTTATTCACAGGCCAATGCAAGAAGAAAAATGTGTGCTGCACAATTTCTCAGAGTTTCAGACAGTATAATATAACATCAAATTATCAAAGGTGAGGTTGCCTGTCATTACTAATCCCCAAAACTAAAGAACAACAGGAAAAAATTCTTATTGCATCACAGTAAGCAGTGCGATTGAATCCAATCAGGCATCATCTTTGGCACCAAGGTATTAACTATGATTTTGTTCTGAAATAGTCTTTTGAGCTAAGACTTAATGCAGGTATGAGGCCACTGATCAGCGCTATTGCTACAGAGCATAATCATGATAATAACATTGTAATGAAGCCCTAAACATACACTTCTGAATGCACTTTCATATGTTCCATCTACTTGCATCTTCTTCTATCTTCTATGAGTATTATGCTTTATGGATTCCAAGTCCATAGATAACCAAGGAATTGCTCCATCCAGGTAGGAAAACCCAACATCTTAATTCACCACTCTTATCCCAGAGTAAAAAAAGCACAACCAGTCCGAAGTATAGACCAACACAACTTCTACTGCATAAAAATTTTACTCTACAGCCTACATCTGGGCTAGGATTCTGATCAAACTACTAAAAAAAGTGCACAGTACGGATCTCTTCAAATCCCAAATTGGCAAAATGTGGATGTAAAATAAGGTCCTTACAGCTATCAAGTTCAGACTCATTGAAAAATACCTGCCACACGTGCGTATCAACAGGAATGGCATGATGCTGATCAAGAGAGAAAAGAGCTATGCACGATGCCACTTTGGGACCAACTCCAGGTAAAGTACAAAGAGCATCAACCACCACTTGGAGATCCGATTTACGAAGAGATGAAAGCCATTCCGCACCTCCACCAGGTTTTGACTGCAGAGCATCTACAGTGCCAGTTATATATTTTGCTCTGCTCACATACAACATAAACCAAAAATCAAATCTCAGAGTCCATTAATTTAGAAAAGAAACTGATACAGAAAATATATTGGCATAGAAACTCAAGTCCATGACAAAATTTCCCATTGAATCAATATCGTTGTCCAGTATGAAATTAGTTAGCTAACTGAACTAAGTTCCACAAACATAGAACTTAAACAAAAAGACAATAATAAAACAAGCCGTAACGAAGTACCTGTAACCAAACCCAGCTTCTCTAAGCTGCTGCTCAGTAATCATAGCTAATCGCTCCAAAGATGGGAACTCGTGAAAGTCAAAACCCTCCACATTCCCCAAATGCTCTCCTAATGAAGATATAAAATCCACCATTTTAGTAATCCTAGCGATATTATTATTCGAAGAACACAAAAATTGAATCAAGCACTCGAGTGGATCCTGCCTCAAAACCCTAGCCCCCTGCAAATGTCGCGCCAGTTCGCTGAACCGCGAATCAGAGACAGAGAACTCCGCCCACATATCGGTCAGCGAAATATCTATGTTGAGGAAATCGAGGAGAGCTGATTTCGCTGCGGACTCGGAAGGAGATCGGTGAATGTGGTAATAAACGTTTCCGTTCTCGTGATGGTTCTTGAGGGATATCAAGTGGGGGCCAAGAGTGCCGGTATACTGAAAAGGACCAGTTTGTTTCCATCGGAAGGTTTGGCCAGTCGGGAATGTGAGCGGGAGAAAGAGTTCCGCTTGGATAAGGCCAAGCGGGGCCCAATTTGTGGAGCTTATCGTTGTTTTTCCGACGGCAGCGGTGGTGGTAGGTTTGAGGATGGTTCGTTTGGATTTCTTTGAGGAGATTTGGATGGTGGTGGTCGTGGTGGTGCGGGATTTGAGTAGCGTTTGTGGTGGAGTAGGAGGAGGTAGCAGCGGCGATTTGGCGGTGGTGGAGAGAGGTACTTGAGGTCGTTGTCTCTTCATTAGTAGTGAAGGGTTTCAGTTAACACAGTAATTGATCCTTGGAGGCTGGGATTTTAAGCAGCCTAATTCCCTGCTTTTCTCGCTCGAGTAGGCAACCGTTAGTCCGTTTCCACTCATTTTCATTTGTCATAATACTATTATTTGGGTAAAAATATTTTCAAAAAATACAATCCTATTGTTACCCTTACTATTTCTGAGCCTTAAATGTGCTATTATTTGCTGGATAATTATGATTATTGAAAATTAGGTTTGTAGTTCTTATTAACTAAGTCCATCCAATGTTTGACCACTTGTTAATGCTTGTGGTTGATATTTACATGAGCATTTTTATTGCAAAACTATTCCGATATCAAATATGTATTATTTAGTATCATCGTTGAGTTTGACGCTTATCCTCTATCTCTTATTTTTTCGAATTCAAGATGAAGTAGTCGTTGAAAAGTCTAATATATTTCTTCTTTTGTTAAAGCTTCAGTTCTTTATAATTCATTGTTATTTTCAGTATTATAATGAATCCAATATTATAATGGATCGTTAAAAATTATGTATATCATTTAAAATAAATTATGATTGTAATATAAAGAATGACATGGTTGTTAAATGATGTTTGATGCTTTTCTCAAATGTTATTGTAAAATGACGATAGACATAATTATTATTTCATGACTAATATGATACGACAGAAAGTAGAATTGCATATGGCCGAAACTTATTGTGAAAAGTTTTAAAGTCTCTAATATAGTATTTCAATAATAGATCAATAATATGATTAAAATTTTGAATATTTCAATAACAAATCAATAATATGATTAAAATTTTGAAGTCGGGTCAGAACAAGTGACGAATTCATAAAATTTTTCCAGTGAAACATAATACGAACATTAAAATAAATACATTCAGTCAATATATTTGAATAGGGGCATTTTTATAAATTCAGTAGGGGGCAAATATATAAATAACCATAATGTTGTAGACAAATTTATAATGTCAGCACTATAGAATAGATCCGCCCCATGAGTATAAGGTAGTAAAATTATATTATTTTGTATAATAATGAATTACACAATCGTTTAATGTACAATCATTTAAAGAATGAAGTTGAGCGATTCCAAGCACGCGCGAGACGAGCGTTTATCAACCCCGAGCATTTCTCCTTTGGTGGAACCCACACTTGCACCCTATAATCACAACGGAGGAAATTGTTAATCAGTCCCTCAAAGTTTAGTTACAAATTTCATCCTTCCAGTTTAATAAAGATATTTACTAATCTTTGAGATTCACTCATGTTAAACTATTTATTAATCAGTCCCTCCAATTCAGTAATTATTATTTTTGTCTAAAAAGTGCATTGATTATAAATAATTAATAAATTTTGATTATTTTGATCTTTAACATTTAACTTACTATTTAAATAGTAAACAAAATAATATTTTTTTAATAAAAGGACAAAATAGTTTAATGTAAAGATATCCACTTAATCTTCCCGACCAATCCGTAAAAATGTTGGGCTTGGATAATATTATTTGAACCAAAGTCTGCTTTAGATATAGTTTAAAATGAACTTGGTTCGACTCGATTGATTTAAGTTAGACCTATAATATTCACTAAAATTCATGCAAAGGCTGGGCTAGATTTAGAAAGATTTTCAAAATTTTCACCAATTGGATTGAGCTTTGGCCAAATGAAAAAGTTTTTAGCTCAATTAAATCCAATTTGTACTCAACTCAAGCTTAAACTTAGGCTATAAATGAGCTGAGTTGAGCTATAGTAAGAACTAGATCTCAACTCAGCTTGATAAGAATATATTCAAATATGAGATATTTCAAACTCAAAAAATCAGAGACTGAGCTCTACTTGGGTTTAACTCTATAACCATATAAATTTGAGCTTGAACTTAAAATCTATCAAACTCAAAACAATATTATTTTAATGTAAAATTTAATTAATTTTGATTTATTGAACTAGTTCTTGAACTTAGCTCAACTTGATAGGATAAAATTGGCCTGCGAGCTAATAAATTGAGACTCGATAAGCTTATTGAATGAGTTGAAGTAATTTTTTATCAAATTAAACTTTGAGCAATTCACAAGTACTTCGAGTAATTTATAATCTTCCTCAAACTTAAATAGTCTAAATCTCATATGCTAATCAAAGTATTTAACAAATTTTAACAAACAAGAGATAAAATTGTGATTATAACAAAATTTGGATTGGAATATAAAAAAGTCCAATCAAGATTGACTTGAGTTCAATTAGAACTTGAATAGTCAAGCTGCAGTACATTTTTTTTTTTTAAATTTAAAAGCAAATAAAATTTTGTCTCTTTCAAATTTCAACTTTTAAATTTATACTTAAAGCTGGCTTGCTAACTCTATCAAACAAATCCAATCAAGCTTTTTAAAATAAATTTCAAACAGTTCATTGAGCAAATTGGTTCTTTCAGAGCGAAATAAGTATGAATGACTAAACAATTATCAACACTTTTTTAGTTTTAATAATAATTAATAACAAATAAAAAAAAACACAACAGAATGGCTGAAAGTCGGAAAAATGAGAAAAAAAAAAAAGAAAAGGAAATCAAGGTCAGGGGAAAAAAGAGCGCATAAATTATTTTTCCCTCATCAAGACACCAACAAGCAACAGCACAAAGCCCTCTCTCTCTCTTACACACGCACAGACACAGGCAGATAGAGAGAAAAGAGTTGCCATCTTCCACTCCCACCCACAATTCTCTCTCTTTGATTCCAATTCAACCAATCAAAGACCCCACAAATCTCCACATTTCCCTCAACAACAATGCCAGCTTCCCCTTCTTTCCCTTCAGGTACTTAAATCTCCAATAAACCCCAAAACCCCACTTTCTCTTTCTCCTTCTCTTCAATTTGTCAGATTTTTTTTTGATTTTTCTTTCTATTTTACCTTTTTTCTTTGTCATAATCAGATGGCAGAGGCAAATGGAAGAGGCGAAAGCGGGAGTCCCAAATCACTCGTAAACAACAACCTAAACATGAAGACCCTGACGAAGATGACGAAGACGACGCCGTTGAGGAGGAAAACAATAATAATAACAATCTCGACCAGCGGGATGATGATTCTGAGGGCCCTAATCCCAATCCCAACTCAGCTGCTGCTGCTATCGATCCGAACCATTTAGAAACGGAGGTTCTTGCCGATGGTGGGGTTCGCATATGTGACTTCCCTTGTGTTACTAAGCTTGTGGTGAATCGCCCTCATGCGTCTGTTTTCGCTATTGCGGCTATAGAGAGGGCTAATTTATCTGGGGAGAGTAGTAGTAATAGAGGGCAGGTGCCGAATTTGGAGAATGTGTCTTACGGGCAGCTGCAGGCAGTCTCCGCTGTGCCTGCTGAGGGTTTTGGGTCCGATCAGGAGAGAAATGATGGAGGCAATCCGGCCTATGTGGTCACGCCACCTCCGATTATGGAAGGGACTGGTGTTGTCAAACGCTTCGGAGGTAGAGTTCATGTGGTTCCAATGCATTCAGGTACACTACTATAGTTCTGGATTTTTCTATATTTAGGGATGACGAATGTTGAAGTGTGATAAAGTTTACTTTTTTTTATTTTTTATTTTTTATTTTTTATTTTTTATGATGGATATGGTAGGGTTTTGTGTAATTATTTAATATTTGAAAGGAGAATTTAGGTTTACTTAGCTGTGGAAAAAGTTTTACTTTTTAGTGGTAGCAGTGTGCTGCTTTTGGGATTTTGATATTTAGTTTTATGAACTTTAGTGCACCAAAATTATTGTATAAAGCGTGGCAGCAGCACAGGAAACAAAATGTGGAATGTGGGTGAGATCTATTGCATTGCTTGGAAAAAGGTTACAAATTATATTCATTGCAGTTCTTTTATGGGATTTAGTGAAATTGCTCATAATCTTGCAAGACATTGCTTGAATTTTGGCAACTAACATCACCCTTCTGAGTCCTTGAAGAGAGTGGAAATGATTATTATGCTTTCTACTTGAAATTCTGCAAAGAAGTTGCATTCCTCTTAAGGTTTGGGCATTGGGCACGTCGCAACTGTCACATCACCTAGACATTCAGTAGGCATATTGCAATGCTATTCGAAAGACTTCAACTTAACTATGGAGTTTCATGTATGCAGTAATGTGTACATACTCACCTGCACACATACACACTCATCCTAACAAAGACATGATTCGTTGGTGTTACAGTAATTTATTAAATACTTGAGCTTCTTTAATGTAGACTGCTGTTTGTATAGGCATGCAAGTTAGCTTGTGTGGTACCTGTTTTTATTAAATTTCATTAAGCCCTTGTCTGTGCTATTATCTTCAAAGTTGTATTGATTTTGCTGTGGTATTATTGGGATTCTTTGCAAGTAGATTGGTTTTCACCAGCTGTGGTAAATCGATTGGAAAGACAGGTGGTGCCACATTTTTTCTCTGGCAAATCACCAGATCATACACCAGAGAAATACATGGAATGTAGGAACTACCTTGTTGCTAAATACATGGACAATCCAGAGAAGAGGATCACAGTTTCTGATTTTCAGGGAGTGGTATTTGGTATTGATAACGAAGATTTAACTCGAATTGTTAGGTTTCTTGATCACTGGGGAATTATCAATTACTGTGCAGCCCCACCAAACCGTGAATCCTGGAATGGTGGATCCTACTTAAGAGAGGATCCAAATGGCGAGGTTCATGTGCCATCAGCTGCTTTAAAGTCCATTGATAGTCTGATCAAATTTGACAAGCCCACATGTAGGCTCAAGGTAGCTGACCTTTATTCATCATTGCCATGTCACGATGCCGATTTCTCTGACTTGGACAACAAAATTCGAGAGCGCCTATCTGAAAATCATTGCACTTATTGTTCTCAGCCTCTTCCTGGCATTTACTATCAGTCGCAGAAGGAGGTAAAACTGCCATGATTTTCTTTCTTAATTTATATTTCATCATTAAGTTGTTCTTTTGTCCATACTTTCTTTTTCATCCCTTGATGGTTGAAAGAATCACTAGCGGTGCTGAAAATTATGTGAATTGAACAAGTTGTAAGACTCAAATTTTATAAGAAGAAAGAACTTTCTGTAGACTCAAATTTAACTAGAGTAGGACATCTGTAGCGCAAAGGTGCTACCATATAAAAGGTCAAATTACACTGTTATTCTTGTGATACACTAATACGTGGTTAATAATAACATTCCCAATAAATTTGAGGGGCCTAAATATTAATTAAGAGTTCAAAAGAAGAAAAGACTGGAATTAATGTTTCTCGGAGTAACTGGTTAATTTTTCTTAAATCTAGTCAAGTGTTTTTTGAAACAAAATGACATGGATTGACCTAAATCTTGATGCTATTGTACTGTTTGTGGTTTCTTTTTTCTGACTGATAAGCATCTTTTTTGACAGATTGATGTCCTGCTATGCTCTGATTGCTTCCATGAGGGGAGGTTTGTAACTGGACATTCGACCCTGGATTTTATAAAGATGGATCCAACCAAGGATTATGGTGATTTGGATGGAGAGAGTTGGAGTGATCAGGAAACACTATTGCTGCTTGAGGCAATGGAAATTTACAATGAAAATTGGAATGAAATTGCAGAACATGTTGGAACAAAATCAAAATCACAATGCATCCTTCATTTTCTTCGTCTACCCATGGAGGATGGCTTGCTGGAAAATATTGAAGTTCCTAGCATGCCCAATTCGTCTAATTTATCAAGTAGGGATGATCATGGAAGAATACATTTACATTCAAATGGTGATCTACCAGGTGTTCTTATTTACGTAGTTGTGGTTTCCATTCTTCTAGGTGGTGATTACGTGATTGTGACATTTATCTGCTTCCCTATGCTTTCTGCAGGGTCTAGCTGTCAAGATGCTGATTCTGAAAGCAGGATCCCTTTTGCAAATTCTGGAAATCCGGTTATGGCATTGGTATGTCTCCATCTTTGTTCTGCCCTGCGCATCTCAAATATTTACTTGAAAGCACAAATTTCTAAACTGCTAGTAAGAACCCTATGCCTTTTCATTTTTCTTTGAAGCCCTAAACACTGGAGGCATTGATTAATTGACATTCTAGAATATCGATGTTTCATTTTCTTTAATGGGTAACTTAACTGAACTTTAACTGTAAGGAACACCCACTCTAGACTCTCAAGTTAAGTAAGAAAAAGTGCTAACCCTTTTCTAATACTTTGTTTCCTGGCATGACTTCCTGATTTTTTTGGTGTGATTCCTTGATTTTTAATGGGCAATAAATTTGACTCATGGTGTTTCTCATTTGGGGCCGAAACATATTTGTTCATGCACTGTTTACAACTTCAAATTCTTTTGAACCTTCAACCTCATGATACTTGGTTTATTTAGCAATTTTTTGGGGATTGGTTGCTTATTATCTTTCGCATTTGCTCTATTAGGGATGATATATTCAATTGAATTTATTTGCCCTTCCTCATTCTTAGTTTCTACTGTTCCTTTTGCAGCAGCTCTTTAGGCATGTTCTATTGGAAACAATAGAATTTTGAAAGATCACCATATGATTGTTTGTATAATTTTTAGATATACTATGCTTTGATGGATCAGGTAAATAACTCAAGGAGTCCCGGTGATATTTAAAAATAAATCAACATAAGAGAGGTCACCTTCTTGAATAGATCTTAGAAAGATCTGTCTGTTAGAAATTTTCCAATTAATTCTAGAGAAATAGACATAATCTTGAGTTGTTTCACTACTGATTCAGAAGCATATAAGAAAGTCCTGTATAGAGTCTTTTAGAAGTTTCATTAAGAGTTAAGACTGATGAATGCTGAGTTTGTGCTCTAACATTAACCGACTAAATGCTACATTTCGGATTCAAACTGAAAACTCAAAAGACTCTTGACTGTCATATTCTAGGTACTTTCTTGATAACTCTTCTAAGAACTCAAATATCAAACTAACTCTCAAATGTTATTAGATATTCTAAGTGCATGAGGCTTCTAGCTGTTGTGTGCGCACAGTAACTTTGGTAACTATAGGAGCTTGCATTTAGAGAGAAAAGAAAAGAGAAAAGTGGGAAATGCTTCTTAAATTCACATAACAATATCAAATTATGTCTATTTCCTTTAACAAAAATATAAATATGTCTCTTTGTGTGTATATACATACTATAAATATCAGTGAATTGACCATCCATGATCCATAATACTTTACAGATGAAGAAATCAAAACCTAATATTACAATAGGCGAAAAAGTCTTTTCTGGTTCCCGTGATTTGGCCTAATTAACTACTTCGTCCTTAAGTTTGTAAAAATTCATTTAAATGGCCCTGAGGTTTAATCGATTAAACAATATAGTCATTCCTTGTACAAAAATTGCCTTTTCAGTTAGTCATACAGATAAAGTGCAGTCAGAGGTGAGAGATAAAAATTAAAAGACAAAAATGCCCTTAATGGCAAACAAACACTAAAATCAAGCTTATTATGATCATGAAAAGCAAAAACATTAAATACCACCTGCAAAATTCCATGTCCTAAAACATACATCCATAAAAAAAAAAAAAATCATTTAAATACAATAAAAAATAACTAATATGCATAATCAAAATTGGAGAAATCAACAATCCAATATATAAACAATACTTAGAGAAACACCTAAAATATCAAATGCATGTACACATTGAATGAATTTAAAGCAAGATGCCTTTTTATCCTAATCTCTCAACAAAGGTTAGGAGGTTCCACACTTTAATCCCCACTAATTTTCAACCATGCATGTATAAAGCAAAAGCTAGAGACATGAAGGAAACCCGTCACGAGACCCATAACCAAGCCAACAAAGGAAACATGCATAGAAAGAAGGAAACCATAAAATTCAACTGCTAAAAATTATTCTTTGCATGTGCAGAAATTCATATTCAAGAGAATGCAGCAAAAGTAAAAAAAGAATTTCCCCAATTTTTTCAGTTAGCCAAAGAGAGAATCACTCAATATGAGCCCATCATTCTTTCCACATTAAATATCTCTTTTCTATTAAAAAAAAAAAAAAAAAAAAATATTGAGCCATTCATTCTTTCCACATTTAAATATTCTCTTTCTATAAAAAAAAAAAAAAAAAAAAAAAAAAAAAAAAAATCAAAACCACAATTCAATATCAAGAACAACCCCAAATCTTTAAACAAGGGACATGAAATTGAAGTAGTAGTAAACCAGTTGGTGAAAAGGAAACATAAATACTTCAAATATAAATTACCTCCACAGCATTCTCTAACAAAAGATCATCTTCTGGTGTCCAAGGGAACACAGGAGCAAGAGGGAGAAAGAGAAGGGAGAAGGTACCATATCTGCTAACCCCATAACCTCTTCAAAAGATCCAATAAAATCAACCATAAAACCATCTGTGATATAAATGTCTGAAATTCAGGTTTGAAGCTTGGGCTTTTTTTTTTTTGGCTCTGCTGCTTGCTTTATTTTGGATCTTGATTTGGCTGTTTGATTGTTTTAGCTATCTGTTGATTACTTGATTTTGATTTGCTTTCTTCTTTTAATGCCTTCATTAATTTTACTGTGTTTAGTTTTGGCTTTGGTTATTCAAAAAAAAAAAAAAAAAAAAAAAAAAAAAAAAAAAAAAAAAAAAAAAAAAAAAAAAAAAGAAAGAAAAAAATGGTTTTGGGCTTTTGGTTACTGTTTACATGTTACGGTGGGATATGGTTTTGATTGATGTAATTAGCAAAAAAAAAAAAAAAAAAAAAAAAAAAAAAAAAAAAAAAAAAAGAAAGAAAAAATTGGTTTTGGCTTTGGTACTGTTACATGTACGGTGGGATATGGTGATGATGTAATTAGATGGGCATTTAAGTCTTTGCATATTGATTTAATGGTGGAAAGGACCCTTTTTGGATGGAAGGATTATATTATTTAACGGATAAAACTTCAGGGATGTTTAAATTACTTTTTACAAATGCAGGGATGAAGTAGTTAATTTCCAAATCTCAAGGACTAAAAAATTTTTTTCCCTTAAAATAGTGAGGACTATATTTGCAAGTACCAAGCACACTTTTCCTTTGAACAGCACACCTTTATGGCATAGGGTTAATTTTTGAATTGGATGTTTCTTATCAACCTTTACAACAGGGATGGAGATAGGATAGTTACTCTATGCCTTGAAAGGTTCCTGACATATTAACACCTCTTATAGTTAGATCCTCTTTCACTTTATGATTGGTCAAAGGGAGGGAGCTTGTAAATAAACAGCTAAGATTGAGTGTTACTATAGAATAATTTTTTTTCTCTCTTTTAGTGTAAAGTTCTGCTTTTGGTAATCAACTTGTGGAAATATTGCTAGGTTGCGTTTCTGGCCTCCGCTGTTGGACCGAGAGTTGCTGCAGCATGTGCCCATGCATCGTTGGCGGCATTGTCCGAGGATAACCGGTAAGTGTATTTCCTGCTTGTGACATTAATATTCTTCCAGCCTGTTTGTTTGAGTCAGTGATTTGCTAGGGCCTTTTCATGATTATCATTGCAGATTTCTTTTCTTGCCTTTCCTGCTTTTTGATAACGGATAAGTAGCTTGGCTGAATGCCTAATTTATGTTTGTAGAGGTCTTTGGTATTGTCAGCTGTTATGAACATGTATGGTTTATGCCCTACAAGCAAAAATAAAGCAAAATTCACAAGGAACTTTAAATGCTTTATGAAATCTTGGTTGTATGCATTCAATCCTTAGTATACGAATTTAATAGATTTATTTCCTTGCCTTATGAAGGATGAATTCAGAGAGATTACACAGTAGAGAAGGTAGTTTTCATGGAGAAGTTGCAAATTCAATACAACAGAAAGGTAGGCCATAGGTTTTGTTTTCCCTGTTCACTATGTATTGTTCTTCGTTTTGTTTTCCTTTCTTCTCCTTTCCATTCTTTTTTTTTTTTTTCTTTTTAAACTATTCAAATCTATTTCTGTGGATTATACTTCAGAAGGGCAGAATGAGGCAGAGGGTGGTCCTGTATCTGCAGATAAAGTCAAAGCTGCTGCAAAAGCTGGTCTTGCGGCTGCAGCAACTAAGGCAAAACTGTTTGCAGATCATGAAGAGCGGGAAATTCAAAGGCTATCTGCCAATATCATTAATCATCAGGTATAGCTGTTGTTAATGTTATTATACCTTTAATTTATTTGTCTTTTTCTTTCACTTTTGCTGTTATCTGTTTTAATGTGCACGAGTGTTCTTTGACAATAATGAGTTGTCGGTATGACTGAATCTCTTGGGTTTAGCTTTGCTGTATTCTACTCCTTTTAGCTGTCTTTTTTTTTTAAAGATATGATGAGATGTATTTCAGTTACTAATCTTAAATTTAAGTATTATTATTTGATAATGAGTACTCTGAATCCTTTTTTGCATCTGCGCACACACATTCAAGAAAATTTTCTAATGAGATGTTGACATGGAGACAGCTGAAGAGGTTGGAGCTGAAGTTGAAGCAGTTTGCGGAAGTGGAAACTTTTCTAATGAGAGAGTGTGAACAAGTGGAGAAGACGAGGCAGAGGTTTGCAGCTGAGAGGGCTCGCATGATGTCAACCCGGATTGGACCTGCTGGGTCTACTTCACAAATGAATCTGGCAGGTGTTGGTCCTTCCATGGTTAACAATAACATCAGCAGCAATAGGCAACAAGTGATGCCTCCCTCCTCGCAACCAAATATTTCGGGATATGGCAACAATCAACAAGTGCATCCACACGTGTCATTTATGCAACGGGGACAACAACAGCCAATGTTTCCTCTAGGGCCAAGGCTCCCTTTAGCAGCTATACAACCATCCTCATCTGCTCCATCAAATGTTATGTTCAATGCCTCTGGGAGTTCTCAGCCAAGTCTTAATCAAATGCTGAGGTCCGTGTCGGGGCCTAGCTCTAGTTTAGGTTGAAACAGAAGAATAAATGTAAATTGGTAATTATTGGCTCACTTTCTGTGCTGCGACCGCGGGGTTTGACGATATTGCTGGTAGGGGCCAAGAGTTTTGATCAGCCTTGGCTTTTGGAATTTCGATATGGATATAACGGTCGGTGCAGTATGGAGGGCTTGTAACATAACATTCTGTTCGGATTTAATTATTTACTCTTGCAATGGATTAGGAAAAGTTGATTTTGCAAATGAATAAATCTGAGTGTTAAATTGCCGCACAGAAGTCATCTTATGGATGATATGGTTATAGTAGCATTTGTCGTTTGGTGAGAAACAATTACAAAGATGGATTAACGATCTTTGAAAAACTAAAAATTTAAACTTGGAAGGGTGTAAAGCCAACATATTTGTTTTTTTAACCTTGCCGTTCCACTTGGATCAAGAGAAAGATTGTCGTTTGATCCAATCCTTTCTAAAAAAATCCATATTAAAAAAGGTTTGGTTATATACAAAGCATTGTATTAGCAATTTCTTTGTTATTATTGGAGATTTTCTCCGCTTCTTATGTACATTCATCTCTCATGCATATGCTATTAATCTTTTTGAAAATATATAGCATTTTATATATTATCGAAACAAAGAATTTAAAAATTAATCACATTCGAGATTTGCGACTGCCTTTCCTATAAGTGCTGCTTTATTTATTTAATGGAACTTTAACTTTGTAAAATCATCTGTTGAACTCAAATTAAATACTCTAATCAGTATTTTCCCCTATAATATAAGATTCGAGCTGCTAGTTGTTAGCTACCAATATTTAACTATTTAGCAATGGTATGTCAACAGTTTACCATTGCTATAAACAAATTTAAACAAGCTTAATTGGTAATCTACGAGAAAGAAAAGAAGGAATATCGCAAATCAAAAAGAAAGAGGGGAATATTACCCCTTTGAGACACAATATATTAAGCATTGTTTAAAACGGAAATGCTACAAAATATTACATTTAAGCTACACAAGAGCATGGACAAGACATAGAAGGATTTGAAAGGGACAAAAAAAGAAAGAGAACACAAATGGTTAAAACAAAGGAAGAGGAGGAAAAGAAATAAGCAACCAAATTCACATTTTTCACATTTCATACGTAGTGAAAAAGCAATTGAAACTCCAATTATTGTGGAAGTGGAATATCAGCCAAATCCTCTCTATAAGGTAGTTGATGATCTATCTCCAAAGGATCTCCAGATTTTTTTAGCCCACTTTCCATGGTAGCTTGGCCAATTTGCTCATCATTTACTGGTTCAATATAAGTCACAACAGTGTCTTTTCTAAAAGTCAAGTAGATAACTGAGATAATATAGATCGCCATTAGAGGAAATACTATTATCCCAATGAACACATTCCCAACTTTTGGTAGGTTATTGTGAATTAGCCAATCCACAAAGCCTGTGCTTAGATAATATATATTTATGCCAATTATCATCAACCCTAGAGTCCATGAAATTACAATAACCTGCCAAGGAAAAAAAAAAAAAAAGAAAGTTAAATGGTTATTATTAGGCACATTTAATTGGTAATCTGAACTTCTAAGACTATGTATTTTGATGCAATATGACACTAAAAATGTAATTTAATTACATTAAGAGTTTGGATTTCATTAACAATCATACATTAAACTACATGTTAATGAGTTTTACAGGAACCGAGCTAGACTTCAGAATTGTTCATACAACAGATTAACTACTGTGAAAAATTGAAATAAAGAAAAAGGCCAAAAAAAAAAAAAGAAATAAAATTTAGGAAGAACTTACATAAATCGAGTTCTTATATGGTCCCATCTTGGTAGAACCGCTGCTGAATTTGAGAAGAGGAATTAATGCAAATGGAAGCTCAAATGAAAGTATCATCTGTAAGAAGAAAATAAAAACATGATTATAATTAGTTTAACCTAAATGTCTATGATCAAAATCCATAATTAATTATAATTATCATTTTTACTAACTGATGCAATGATGATTAGTCGGCCTGCTCCAGAAGATCCACCAATAATTGAGACAACAAGACTAGGAGCAATGGCAATACACCTAGTCATTAGGTTCCTTGTCCATTTTTTCATCTTAAGATCCAAAAAACCCTGAAATTTAATTAATTACATATAAACAAAGTGAGCCCAGAAATCTCTTGAAAGGTTAATATCATAATATATACTTCAAAAATTGTAATTATTTTTATTAAAACCTGCATTATATATTGGCCAGCATAAGTGCCTGTGATGGTGGAGCTTTGCCCTGAAGCTAATAATGCAATGGCATATATAGTTGAGCTGGATCTTCCAAGCACATTCTGTCGCGATCAAAAAAGGTATTTCAGCTATGAAACTAAAGCTATGCTTGAAGAGTTCTAATAAAACATAATATAACGTAATAATCAGAGACATTTTTAGTAAAATAATGCACTGGAAATAGTCAACTTAGCACTTGACAAGTTCACATTTATCAAATTAAGTTCCTCCTGTAATTTCAATAATTTTGTAAGGATAAATTATAATCATATTTTATATGCATAATGCGTAAGTATGAGTCAATCTGTGTAATGAGATTGGAATTTTACAGACCTGAAGCAAGAAAGAAGCAGAGTTAAGATTAAGATCGCTGCATCGATCAACATCCCCAGGTGCGAGATTTTTGGACAAACAAACAGTAGCTGTGACGGAGATGATTGATAAATTGATTAGGAATGCTACAAAGAGTGCAAATCCACTTTCTATAAGAAAAAATCGACAAGCATCCTGTAAAATCAGCAACATTATATAAAAAAAATTGTTATACAAATAGGATTAAAATTGAAAAAAAAAAATCAAAATTTGTAGAATTAAGAGAATATATTTATAATTTATGAGATCTTTTTCTTACATTGATGCCACGGACAGAATTGGGTACTTTTCTAGAGAGCACAAGAGCAGAATGTAAAAAAAGATTGTGTCTGTTGATAAAAAATACATACATCAGTGGATGATCTGATAAAGAAATCACACTCATACACATATATAGAAATTATTAATTGTCGATAGTGGCAGGAGTCTTACGGCATTACGAGGGCACCTAGTAGAGCAATGGCATCTCCGGTGGCTCCGGAGCCCTTAAGTCTAGGGATAAACATGCCTTTAATCACTTCTACCGCAGGAGGCTTTACATAACTCATTTCACCAAAGAAACATCCAGCCATTATAAACACCAATATTGCTATCAACAATTCCAGTTTTCTCACCTGCATAATTTTCATACATTAATATTAAGAGACAAAAAAAAAAAAAAAATCATAAAATTATCCAAATCCGATTGATTATGTTCATTAGTAATTTCATTTACTCATTTATAAATGTAAAACCAAAATAGCTAAATTATGATGCCACCCAGTGCACTATTACTATTGTTTCCTATAACACTGGGTTGAGTTGATTTCTTTTTTTTTTTTTATTGATATAAATACTGGAGATCCACGAGATCACCAGTGAAGTAACTTTACCGTTACACTAAAATCACTTTCTAGATATTTTGATGAATTAATTATTAAGATTTTTTTTTTCATTAATTAAGTTTCTTTCGTCTGGTGTTCAAAGTATGTACCTCACAACCACCATATAAATATTGATGAACTCAACCGTTATAGAAAAATATTCAAACATTCCCTTTCCTTCTGTTAGATGTTTTGACTTGTGATGTGACGATTAATTAATTAGATTAAACAAATTAATTAGATTAAAAAAATTATAAAATGAAAATTTTATATATTTCTTAGAAAAATATCACGTTAGTAATTGAATATAACAAAAATAATTGAGCATAAGTTGGAGCAGTTGAAGTGCTATTTAATCTTATCCATGATGGTTGCGTTTGTACTAATAAGAAATTAGTTAGGATAATTAATATAATTAATTATAATCTATGACGAAACGAAATAGATTTTTATTTATCCTTTTTTTTTTTTTTTTTTTTAATCTATACGAAAAACGAAAATAGATTTTATTTATCCTTTTTTTTTTTTTTTTTTTTTAACACAAATTCAACGGATTTTATATATAAAACCAGCATGAGGAATGCAGGAGAAGCAGATGGGAAGCATTGGTTAGTTTTACATTATTCATTTAAGAGAAGACTTGCTATATATAATTATAAAATTATAAATAAAATATATTAAAGAAATACAATTAATTAAATGATTAATTTTAATTACCCCGTATCTCTGTAGACCGAGGAGGAGGAGAGTGCTACAGCCAGTAATCAGAACTCCAACCCATACTGGGATATTAAATAGTATGTTTAGTGCAAAAGCTGTTCCAATCACTGGAAAAAAAAATTAAGAAAAGAACAAAGAAAAATAGTAAGTAATTATACATGTCCAAATGTATTCTTCTTTGCAGTATAGAAGACATAAAGAAACTCAAACCAGCTGGGTGTAGTGGTTAAGCACATTCAATCTATGTTACTGATCATAGAATTAGTGAAATTAATATTCGAAAAGTAGTTTAAACATAATCGTTTCCAGTCCAAAAATATTAATCTCTCATTTGGATCGGTGAAAGTTAATATTTGAAGAGTGGTTGAAACATAATCGTTCCGGTCTAAAAGAATTAATCTCTCGTCCAACCGTTGGACGATACTTTTAGTAGTTAAAAAAAAAAAAAAAAAGAACGAGTAAATTTAGTAGTTATAAAAAAAAAAAAAAAAAGACGAAGAAGAAAAAGAAAAGAAAATTATACCTTCTGGTATATCTGCAGCTATTACTGCTACCTCTGCTAGTAACCATAAACAAAGCTTGACATATTTTGGGTATTCTGCCTTGCACAATTCAGACAGGTGCTTTCCTGATAATCGAATATTATTAATTAATTAAGCTGTGACCGAAATTAAAAAAATAAATAAAAAATTTTAATTTTTTTTATTGCAGCTGGTTTAATTACTAATTTTACCTGTACTCACACCAAGATTTGCAGCTAGAGACTGAATAATGAGAGCAAAAATCAAACCAATAAGAATGACCCACAGAAGCTGAAAAATAGATAAACAGCATGTCAGTTAAATCTAATTAATTTCCCTTAATTTATCTTATTGATATAAAAAAAAATATAAATAATAGTAATATTTTTTTTCCTTTAATTTATTTAATGACCTCATAACCGTGGTTTGCTCCAGCCTGCATATCGGTTTCCACTGCACAAATGCCATTGTAACAACAATTTGTCAGTCACATTTACATGCATGCGTACACGTGTAATAAACGGAGGGCAACTTATCTTATTACGTATCTACTTCACTAATAATAATAATAATAATACAATAATGTCCAACAAGCAAAATGGATGACAGAAATTCCTTCACTTTTAGCCAGAGACTTAAGAGTGAGCATAGAGTGATTTTAAACAGTTGAAAGAGAGCATTTTATCTCGGCAGGCCTTTCGCTGCGAATCCAATTTAAGCGGACTACTTCGCAATTTTGAATTTTGGACACCGAATGATGATAATAATAATAATAATAATAACAGAAAACAGAGATAAGCAAGAAAGCAAGGAAAGCTTACAATTGCCAGGATCAAGATAAGCCAAAGAAACCAGAAAGCCAGGTCCTACATATGATAGGAAGTTTCTCCAGCCAGGTTTCTAAAGAATTATAAGTATTAATAACAATCAAAAATTAATAGAAAAACAAAATTATAACTTAATATATATATATACCTGGTGAGTATTTGGGTCCTTTTGATGATGATGATCAACGGGAGAAGGGGTCTGGCCCTCTAAATTAACAGCAGCTATGCGGTTGCTGTGTCCAAGTCTGAGCTGTTCTTGCCTTAAGCTCGCCATTTGATCTTAATTTCTGATATGTTGAGTACAGTTTTTAGTTTCTGTACACTGTTTGCATGCCATCAATCAACTCCCATTTCCTCTATTTATGGTGCTCACTAGTGAGGGATGACATGTAGCTTTGCATACCACTAGTGAGGGATGACATGTAAGCTTTGCATAAAAGTAACTTATCCTTCTCCTTCTTCCTTCTTCTTTTTTTTTTTTTTTTTTTTTTTTTTTTTTTTTTTTTCATTTTTTTAATCTATAGCTTGCTTAATTATCTTGGTAATTTTTATTATTTATTTCTTTTACCAAACCAGTTTTTAGTTTGTCAGTATCAATAAAGAGGGTTCAAACTTTGATATATTATCAGATTGTAGATTTAATTATTATTAGATTATATTTTGGTATACAAGACTGTAAACAATTTATATGAATTATGTTTATTTATTTATTTTAACTTGTTTAATTGTGAGTTCTTAGTAAAAATATATATGTTCACAAGTGATGACACAATCATAGGTGTAAAGTTAATTCTGAGCAATTTAATTTGGTTATTTATTGGTACAAACAGGATGGTTCATGCTTTCTCTTGTAAGGAAGTAGGCATGACAGATTGACAACTAACCACCGGCTATGAACATAAACAATAACCTGATGAGGCTAGCTTTTAATTACTACGATGAGATAATTCTGAGAGTCGGACACGTAATTGAATTTTTAAATATTACGGGGTAAAAAGTAAAAATAAAAATTTAGAATATGTATATTTTAAAGAATATAAATACAACTTATGGAAAAAAAATTTAATTTTAAAAATTTAGGGAGTCTTGGTCTCTCAAAGAACTAATAATCTGTTTAATTTAGTTGTTTGTAATAGTTGGCTGGTAATTAGGAATTCAATTACCAAAATTGTAAAACAACGCCATTAAATATATTTTTATTCAATTTGTCCTTGTTAAAAATAAATCTTTTCTTTATTCAATTTGCTCCCTTTAATATATATATTTTCTTGTAATTCAATTTGCTCCCTTTAATAATATATATATTATATATATATATATATATATATATATATAATATTAACCTAATATTATTTAAAGACAATTGAATATATATATATGTTAAAAGACAATTGAAAAATTGAAGAATTCAATATTTATTATATTTATTGTATAATAAGGAAACATATCCCTCATGATATTGTATTTTCTAATGTAAATTAGTTAGATTACATAAGAGTATATTCAATATTAATGTGAATTGTGGTTGATCTGTCGCATATAATAGAAAGTACAAACAATGATATAGCTGAATGTTTATTTATAGATATTGATTTTAAAAATAGGAAAGCGTGATTGTTAATTTCTATTTTATTTTTTTACACATCAGCTTGACATAATAAATAAATATTACAAATGGGGAGCTTTTTTTTAAATTTTTTTTCCCTTTTTTCGATATGGTAATTAAATAAAAATAATTCACATTATTACTGAAGATGCCTTAAATATGTTGTTTATTGTAAGTTAATATAATCAATCCTTATTGAATTTGCAAGTTCCCACTTATATCCTTATTCAAAATACTCCTATAATTTAGAATTACAACACATCAAGTTACAGATAATATACTTATTTTTATATGTATATCAGTATATGTGTTCACATATAATGTAAATATGTTCACATATGAATAATTTTCTGCTTGTCTGCCTCTACCGATAGCATTAGTTGATGTACACTTGTGTTTAATAAATTTTTAGTGCATTTGCTGTTGAAATGTAAAGTGACGCTTAAAATATATATAATTATCTTCATAGATTATCATGTATCAATTCTATAAAAAAATTTTATAATATTTTGATAATTATTTATTATCTTTAATTACTTATGAATAAAATGATGATATAAAAATATTAATTTGAACATTATCTTTAATTACTTATGAATAAAATGATGATATAAAAATATTAATTTGAACAAAAGTTTATTAGTTATTATTTTATGAGATTAATATAATATAAATATCAATCAGCTACCACATGTGAAATAACCCGCATTTTTATTTTCAAAAATTTTCTAATCAAATTTAATAAGCGGACAGCCCGGAAATCTATTTAATTATTTAAATGCAAATTAATAAGTTGTACAGTGATAAACCGAACCGAAAATCAACTGAAAAATCGAAAATCAAATGGAAATCGAGATTTGGGCTGAATCGAACCGGAATCGGACCGAATCAACCCAAACCATCTAGAAACTCTTTCTTTTTATCTCTTGCGCCTCACCCATTTTCCCACACCCACCCTTTGCTCTGCGCCTCCAGCCAGCCACCGGTACTTCCACCACCGCGCCACCTCCTACTCCCTCTCTTCTTCTTCTTCTTCTTTTCTTTTCTTTCTTTTTCTTTCCTTTTCTTTCCTCTCTTGCGCTTGCGTCTGAGTCCGTTCTGCACTGTGACTGGCGACGCCTGAAGCAGCAGCGGCGACACCAGCTAGGCCGGACTTCCTCGCGCGCCACCTTGTTGCAGTTCGACGTCGCAGCAGCTCCGCCAGTGGTTCAACTTCATCCTCGGCCAGATCGCGCAGCGCCACCTCCACCAGATCGCATCATCGCTCTGATCTGTCGCGCCACTGCCTGCCGTCGCTCTAGCGCGCCTCCGACCACCAGAGATGGGTCTGATCTGTCGCCGCCTCCGCCTCTCTGCCACTGCCAGTCGGATCGTGTCCTCTGCTTGCAGTTCCAGTGCGCATCCGGCACGCGTAAATTCCCGATCTAGCGAAACCCAACAAGAAAAGTTATATTTGGGGTATAAATCAATTTTTTTGCTAATTCTCAGAATTTATTTTAGTAAATTGGGTATAATTTAACTTAGTAATTTTAGTTAATTAAATTAATTTCAGCAATCTTGATTAGCTAATTTAGCAATTTCGATTAGTTAAATTTATTTAATTTAGTGTTGATTTATTGATTAATTAAAAATCGCTTGATTGATTAAAATGAAATTCTAGTAATAAACAAAATTGTTGGGAAATTATGATTTATGGAATTAAAGAAGAACAAATTTATGAATTAATGATGATATGGAGAATACGGAGAATGGGAATAATTGACTGGATTGATTGCTAGATGGATGGGCTATAAAAACCTGAAAAGTAATTAAATGGATTGATTGTCGGATAGTTAAATTTTAGAGGAAGTGCTGATGAAATTTTGGTAGAAATTAGATTATTTTTAGAACTTTTATAGGTAGTACGACTAAAATTATTATCGTTAGTAATATTATATTTTCAATCATATTATTCTTATTAATAATAATATTATTATTAGGATTAGTATTCTTATTAGTATTATTATAAAATACTACTTCACCTTTTATTTAAAGGTGATAAATTAGAATAAATATAAAATAAGAAAACCCAATATTAATTTAATAAGTGAATTAAATGATTGGTAACCACAACTAATAAACGAACGTAACATATAATCTTCCGAATTAGAATTATTACTTAGAATTTTCTTGTTTATTTAGAGGATTATAAAATTCCGAAATGCGAGGATAAAGGCTGGAAGCATGTGGCCTGGAAGGCAGTCTTTTTAAAGGACAGTAAAGAACTGTGAGTAGTGTTAGATAACTAGTATCATCTGTCTGCATTCATGCATTCACGACTAAATGTTATCATGCATTATTTTGTTACTGTGAGTAGTGTTAGATAACTAGTATCATCTGTCTGCATTCATGCATTCACGACTAAATGTTATCATGCATTATTTTGTTAAATTGCCATATTATGCTGCACTATTGCTTCGATTAAAGATTGCTTGATTACCTGTGCTATGTATATACCGTGCTTTGTTTGTGTGGAATTGGGATGAAGTGGGTCACCACGGGTTTGTGATTCTGATTCTGTTATACGGATCCTGATTCTGATTCTATTATACGGATCTTGATTCTGATTTCTGTTATATTCTGTTACTGTGATATGGATCCGACTGATATTCTGTTTACTGTGATATGAATCCGTAATACTGATATTCTGTTTACTGTGATATGGATCCGACTGATATTCTGTTTACTGTGATATGGATCCGTAATACTGATATTCTGTTACTATGATATGGATCCGACTGAAATACTGTTTATTGTGATATGGATCCTGAAACTGATAATATGAGAGGATGGGCCGTGCGAGAGTACGGCTCGTCAGGGGTTTCAGTGACTCTATTGACTAATTTCCACGTGATGTGATTATATGAAGGTGATAATAATTGTGATTGCTATTGTATTGCCATTTGTGTGACCAACTGCATGATGTGATTGCTATTGTATTGCCATTTGTGTGACCAACTGCATGATCATATAATTAAACGGTAACCAGATAAAAAATATTTTAGCATCTGTGTGATTGTGTGCGGTGAGAGGGTTATCTAATCCTACTCATTGAGTTTGGCGCTCACCTCTGCCTACCTATTTTTTTTCAGGTAATAGAAGAAAGTCCCATGGAGTTGAAACATTAATTATAGAAGACTGTTAATAAGAAAATAATGATGTGAATGTACAGGTAGAATTTCGCAATTGTATTCCAAATGGGTTATAAATGAATAAATAAATAGAGTACGGATACTTATTATATGGATTGTACTTTGAATATATTTGTGAAATAAGTTATTGGGCCTGAATCCACAATTATGAATAGAATGCGAGTTTTAAGTAATAAAGGCTTATTACGGGCTTCGGGGCCTTAAGCTCACTCAGGTCTTAGTGCCGGTCCGGTCTATAAAAATGGGTCGTGACAACCTGTTAATACGAAAAGTTTCAAAATATAGTAATAAAATAAAAAGTTAGTTGAAACTTTGAGGTATCAACTATTCATTAAAGGCTATGTCGATAAATTAATTGTTTCAGTAATCATTAGCTGTCTGAATAACTGTCTGCGTTTATAAAATATTAAAAAAAAGCAACATTTCATCAAACTTTAAATGCTAGTATAAACACTAAATGACTCAAGTTATAAATAATAGAGGTAGTGTTTTGATCTTAGTCAAAACATTGAAGGCTACATGAAAATTTATTACTAACAAGGCCAAAATTTTTTGTAAACACCTCTAATTGTTGAGTGCAAAAGTAACTATTAAATGTTTTTTTTTTTTTAAAAGCATAATAGTAATAATGACAAATCAATAATTTCTCTTAATAAAATAAGAATTGCAGGAAACTGCAAAGGGAAATAATTAATTGTTTTTTTTTTTTTTTTTTTTTTTTTTTTTTTTTTTTTTTTTTTTTTTTTTTTCCTCAAATAGAATCACATAATTGGGTGAATTCATGTTATCGAAATTGTTTCTTTACATAAGCCCCCCAGAAAAAAAAATTTAGAAAAAAAAAAAAAAAAATCCCCCATCAACTAGAGCTATTGAGATAGGAAAATTAATAGGAGGAAAGCGGAAAAAAATCTTCAAATCACAAATGCTTCTATCTGTTCATTCAACCTTCGTTAGCAAAAAATCACTGAATTGTAATGGTATAAACTAAAACAGTACAAATGAAAACAAACAAACATTTGGTTAAGCTTGAAACAATTATTTAGCTAATGGTATAACTAACAGTACAAATGAAAACAAAAACAACATTTGGTAAGCTTGAAACATTATTTTAGCTGAGAAAGACAGCCTCAGACGACTCACCGGAACACTAAATAGCGTGGTGGAGGGCTACAGATGGCCACATGGCGCGGGGCTACAGATGGCCACATAACGGCGCCGTGGAGGCATACAGGTGGCTAAGATGGCGAGAACAATGACGACTGCCATGAGAAGTCCCTTTAAATCGAAAGCATTATCGTCATTACACAATTCAGAGCAAACAAGTTTCCCCATCTTATCCGCCCTCCGATCTTAATTGTTAATTAATCCAAAGTAGAAATAATTTTTATGTTTCATTTACATAGATGGACCTATAGCAAATCTAATCCAAAGAATATATAGAAAAGATGAAATTCTGTTCATAGATGGAGTCACTCTAGAGGAGTTTAGTACCAGTTATTTTTTTTTTCTTTCCTTTTATATCCTGAGTTTTGAATGAAATTTTATTAATTTTTCAAAAATACAACTTTAACCGAGGAGAGTGCAGGGCCCAGGGGGCCTGAGGCTGAGCCCATTTTAAATTGAAAATAATAACTATGAACTATTAATATTTAAAATAATGTTAGAAATATATATATTTTTTTGGTACAATAAGGGTAGCAAAAAGCTCAAAAGAAACTAAACAAAGCATCAACCTTACATAAAATAATTCTATTACAAGCTAATTAGCTAGATACATATTAAAAATGCAGAGATAAAATCAGCTAATTACAGAGATAATTAGTTGATTTTAGTTTTCAAAGTACAGTTCTACTTTTTACAATGGACTCAAAGGCCAAATGCGAAAAACATTTCAGATCCTCAACGAGCTTTAGAATTAAGACCCTCTACTACTCTAATTTGATGGATTACAGATGCATTGGTTAACATTTTTTTTTTCTTTTTGAAAATTATAATTTTATTAATAAATCAGGAAAAACTTAGCAAGGAGATCTAAAATTAATCCAAAGCAGTAGGTCTACTCCGCAAAAAAAAGAACATAAATAATTTTTTGTATAATAGAATGATATTACAGGTTAGCTTTTCCCTGTCATATTAAGTATTCCTCATCAATTTAATCAAAAACAGACTAACCATTCATACCAGAAAATATTTAATAAATGAGATAATCTTATCTTATAGTAATTTTTTTTTACTACTTTGATATAATTAATTAAAATTCAACATCTATTCTGGCAATGGAATATCAGCTAAGTCCTCTCTATAAGGCACAATATCAGGTGACTCATTGGACTGGACTAACCCCTCTTCCATGTTTGCTTGTAATCTTGAACCATTTTCCTTCATTGGCTCAATAAATGTGACCACTGTGTCCTCTCTAAGGGTTAGATAGATGACTGCAAATACATATACTGCCATTAGAGGAAATACAATGATTCCAATAAACACATTCCCAGCTTTTGGTAGATTATTGTCAATTAGCCAACCAACAAACCCTGTGCTTAGATAATATATATTTATGCCAATAATTCCTAATCCCAAAATCCATGAGAACACAATAATCTGCGAGCAAAACAAAAAAGAAAACCACAAAATTATTATTATTATTTTTATAACCAGAAGTATAAAAACGCCTCTTGTATTGTAGAGCTTAAAAGTTTTTGGCCTTCCAAGCAAAAAACCTTTATGCTCGACAGTTCCAAATAAAACTTACGAAAATTGAGTTACTGTGAGGTCCCATTTTAGTGGAACTGCTACTGAATTTTAGCAGTGGGATAAGAGCAAATGGAAGTTCAAACGAAAGTATCATCTGCATAATTCATTAAAAATGTTAATTAAAAAATTAAAATGAAATTAATAGGTACATCAAATGAAAAATTATTAGTCATAAACATAATTTTCTCACCGAAGCGATGATAATTAATCGACCTGCTCCCTGTGATCCGCCAATAATTGAGACAATAAGACTAGGTGTAATGGCAATACACCTAGTCATTAGGTTTCTAATCCATTTTCTCATCTTAAGATCTAAGAAACCCTGAAAAAATTAATTACACCATTATTAATTAATTAAGATTAGCTAGGATTAAATTGAATGATTAAGCAAAATCAAAATGGCTTTACATGCCTGCATGATGTATTGTCCTGCGTAGGTGCCACTTATAGTGGAGCTCTGACCTGAGGCCAATAGAGCAATACCATATAGGATGGAACTTGATTTTCCCAACATATTCTGTCAAAAACAAAAAGAAAGGAAAAATTATTTAGGACCAGTTTAATTATCTTTAACTAATATTAATTAATTAACACTAATTAAACCTGGAGAAGAAAAGAAGCAGAGTTAAGGGTTAAATCACTGCATCTATTTGCATCATTTTGTGAGAGGTTTTGGGCTGTGCAAACTGTCCCAGATACAGAGACAACTGCCAGATTTATTAGAAAAGCTATAAGTAATGCAAATCCACTCTCTATGAGGAAATAACGGCAAGCTTCCTGTTAAAAAAAAAAAAAAAATTGAATACAACAAAATTAATTATATAAACATTAATGTTATTATTATTATTATTATTATTAGTATTATATAAGATAACATTAATGGTTATTATTATTAATTATTATTATTATTTAGCAAGACAAAAGAAATTAATGGGATTTTACATTGACGCCACGGACAGAAATTGGGTACTTATTATTATTATTATTATTATTATTAGAAGACAAAAGATTAATGTGATTTTACATTGACGCCACGGACAGAATTGGGTACTTTCCTAGAAAGCACAAGGGCAGAATGGAGAAAGAGATTATGTCTGTTAAAATAATAATTAAGAAACATAAAGATAGATTAATTATATAAACCATGATAAGATAAATAGAAAATTAACAAAATGAATTAATTAAATCTTAATTGAAAGAGAAGAGAAATATATCTTACGGCATGACAAGGGCACCTAGGAGGGCGATGGCGTCGCCGGTGGCTCCTTGGCCCGAGAGCTTGGGGATGAACATGCCCTTGATGACTTCAGTTGCCGGAGGCTTTACATGACTCATTTCACCAAAGAAACATCCAGCCATCACAAATACCAGCAAAGCTATTAACATTTCAAGCTTCCTCACCTGCCCACATCCCAAAAGAATTTATTAGCTCCTCTAATATTAACATAGATATTTAGATTATGCTTAAGCTTTTAATAATAATAATAATAATAATTATTATTATTATTAATAAAAAACTTTTAATAAATTTTTTTTCTGAAAAATGGAAAAGATGTATCATTAGAGTTTGCAACCTTTGGTCTGTTCGGTCTTTTCAATTGAAAATGCAAAGTTTCTCATTTAAAGTTAGACAAGGAATAGCTAGATCTCAGCCTTTCATATGTTTAAATTATTTGTACAAAGTGCAAAGCAGCACAAGCAATAGAGTCTGATTTGTTACAGTTTGAAAACAATTTCAACCAAACTAACAAAAAGATATTTGATGTTGTTGGAAATGGAAAAATTTAATAAAAAGTAATTTCCCTCATTTTATACTATATAGTTGAAAGCTCTTTTTTCTGAATAATTGGTAGAAAAATAAATCTAAATTTACCCCATATTTCTGCAGGCCAAGAAGTAGGAGAGTGCTAAGACCAGTGCACAGAACTCCAACCCATAGTGGGATGTGAAACAATATATTCAATGCAAAGGCTGTCCCAATCACTGTACAAAAAAAAAACTTCTGTGCCATTTTAAATTAAGGTGATCAATCAATAAGGACAAAAAGCACGAACACAAGCTCGTACGAATGTGAAATAAAAAAAGTAGATAAGAAAATTTTTGCCTTCAGGAATGTCAGCAGCAATGACCGCTATCTCAGCCAGCAGCCACAAAAAATATTTTACATATTTTGGATACTCAGCCTTGCATAATTCTGAAAGATGCTTTCCTGAATAATCAATAGTCCAGTACATGCCAACAAAATGAACATTTAGGTATAAAATTCACATAACAGGTCAAAATATTTAATGATAGGATTAGTACAATTTAATAAATTATTGAAGTTTGGTATTTTTCTTCAGTAGATCATGGTCCTAGTCTTCTTTTTTTTTTTTTTCCTGGAAAAATGCTAAATTTATTAATTAAGTCACCAACAAGACATGTGGTATATATCTATACTTCTATTCAAGGATGACAGAAATACGTCATAATTATCTATTGTAAATTAGAAATAAGCAAATATTAATTTCAAATCTTTATTTTTTTTTTCTTAATGTATTACCAGTGCTGACACCCAAATTTGCTGCTAGTGATTGGATTATGAGAGCAAAGATGAGTCCAATGAGAATAACCCATAGTAGCTGGACAAAAAAATGAAAATTATCAATACTTTAGTCTTTGCATGTATTATTATTAATAATAATTCAAAAAACTATGAAGATATAAAGTCCTTCTTTCTTTTGAAGATTCTACTTTTTATTCTCTTTTTACCTCATATCCATGATTAGCTCCTGCTTGCAGATCAGTTTCCACTGTACATATTATATGTATATATATATATAAAAAGATTAGTAAGCTTTTATTTTAATTATTTTTAAATACCTGTGAGAAAAAGTTTCAATTTTTTGTTGTGTTTGAGAGCATGTGATAAGTAGGTGTTAATTAATTAAGTTAAAAATCAAATTTAATTATTCATGAAAGAAAATAATTTATCTTAAATTGATAAAAAAGGTACTGAAAGAGGTTGACAATAATTTTGTTCATGTTCAGTAAAATTGACTATTTTAATAGTCGATAACTGTTTTAATAATGGTCAATTTTTTTAAAAACTATTATAGACTTTACATGAGATTTGTTATAGATCGAAGGGAAAAAGTTGATAGCAAACCTTATGTTAATTAAATTGAAACTCTAATCAGTTATTTTAATTTTTAAAAATTTGTTATCTACCAAAAGAAATACTTACAGTTGCCAGGGTCAAGATAGGCCAATGAAACCAGAAAACCAGGTCCTACGTATGATAGAAACTTTCTCCATCCAGGTTTCTGATCATCAATATTAATTAATACTGATAAGATCAAAACTGTGTGCATATATATAAAATTAAAACTTCATGTATATATATTAACACCCATGGACAAGAACTACAGAAAACTGTGTGTGTTTATATATATATGTATACCTGGTGGCTTCGATCCTCATTGTCGTTTTGATGACCGGTAGGTTGCGGTTTGCCCTCAATACTAACAGCAGCAATGCGGTTGCTAGGTCCTTCCCATGAAGTTGGGACTATATCAGTCATTTCCCTCTTCATCTTCTTTCTCTGGTTTGTGTATACCTGATAGTGCTCTTGTGTATTTATAGATAGGTCACATGGGTTACGATAGAGGAAGATAAACAATGATCACTCGTCTCTTATTTTGGAGATGAATAATAATTAGCAGTCCATCTAATTACCTACCTAATTGACCCGTACTGAACACGTCACTTTCTCCTTTTCAACTCCCAATAACAATAGTTTTTCCGTGTAAACCAAGCGGTATCCGAATCCTAAGTACAAAGGACCGTATATTCCGACTTGAAATTGAGTCACCGTTAAAACTTTTCACCCCTCTCTGCAGATGTGTTTAGTAGGGATTGAATATGAGAACTCTTCACACATGCTAAGCATGAGTTGTCACTTGAACCACAACACGGAGGTTCTTAATAATAATATTAATAATATAAAAAACATACCATATAGTTTTTTATTCTTTTCTTGCAGAAAGAATTGATATCTTGTTGATTCCTATTTTATATGTTATACAATTAGGAATTTTTTCGGAATTATTACTAATATTATTGGATTGGAAGAATATTATAGGTTATACAAAAGGCTTGGCCTGCTTTTAGCATTTTGACTGGTCAAAATGCTAGTTAAAATACTAAATGTTATTTTTGTAGTGTTCGATAATATAACATTTGAACTAACTTAGGTTAATATAGCATTTTATAAAAAGTTAACTCATGTAACGTTTAATTTTTAACGTGTTATGAAATGCTACTAAAATAGCTAACAGCTATCAAAACAACTAATTTTATTAATTATACCCTACATAAAGATCTATAATTGCTTTTTATAGTAAACAAGATTCAAACATGATAGCTTCTCACTCTAAACATTTTTTATAGGACATGAAAAAATAAATTTGATCATGACTGATTGGCAAACTGACTGATTCCGTTGCTGCCATGATCATGAGCAACAAAAGAATTTCTGGACATCTCAATTGCATTTAACTGATTCCATTAATGGAAATTCAACGGAGGTTCAAATTAAAACGTCTCACTTCTAAAAATTATATATCCAGATTGGTACTATTGAATTAGAAATTATCAGAGAAATTCAAATGGGAATTTAATTCATATTCCTCTACAAATAATATTTTCAAGATATTTTATAAATAGTTGATTATAGGAGCATGGATAAGATTTCCTTTCTTTTTCTAGGTTTTAATTTTTTTTCCCCATAGTTTGATTATAGGAGCATGGATAAGATTTCCTTTCTTTTTCTAGGTTTTAATTTTTTTTCCCCATAGTACTTTATGTTTGATGGTGCCCATGGTTGGCAATAATACACCTGAAGAATTTATCTGAAGCATTTTCTCCGAACAACTTTAAAAAGAATCAAAATTTTCTTTTCAGGAATTATCTCATCAGTAGAGTTTTATAAGTCTATAAGGGTCAGTTTATTTTTAGAAAATAATTTTTCTATAAAATATTTTTCAGGTTTTCTAATATCTAGGATGCTTAAAAAATTCAATTAAAAGATAAAATTAAGCCAATTTAAAAGAAAATGACATTATATTCAAAACGGAAAAACGTTTCTAAATATTGATATTTTTTTAAAAAGAGAATATATATAAACTTATTATAGATTTCTAAAAACCTATATATCAATTCATTTGATCACTACTAGCCACTACAAGTAGTTGCGACAACCAATTAATGGCACTATCACAACTTGTTATTTTTAATGCAATTTCATTTAAAATTTAATTCACTTTCATATTTTAATAAAAGTTTCTAAGATATAAAATTCCGATATTTTATATATTATTGTAGTTTTATAAATTAAAAATTCTAATGTTTTCTAATATTACAACTAAAAAATAAAAATATATTATTTGAAAAATATTTTTTAACAAAATTAGAACATAAGTTATTAAATCCTCTTGCAAACTGAGCTAATGACATGTTTGGTTTAGCGATTCGTACCAGTTGATAGCTTGTGACTAATAGTCATTAGCATAATGAATATTGATATTTGATAAAATTTTGATAACGATTACTGTTAAAATGTAAAGTGACTATTATGGTTTTTATATATTGCGGCGTATATAATAAATATATATATATTAAATAAATAAAACATAGTAATTAAAATTTTAATAATATTTAATAGAAAGTTATTAAAATTTTAATAATATTTAATAGAAAGTTATTAATCTGGATGGGTAGCGCAATAATAAAAAACACTCGTGGAGTTGATCATCATAATTTAGGTCATGAACTCGATTTAATGAAGTCTAAATATAAAATAAATACAAGTTAGCTATTAACTGATACGAAAAAGCTTAATATATATTTACCCTTCACAATTATTTTATTATTTAACATATGTCCTATCGGAAAGTGATAATTTTTTTTTTTTTAAAATGATAAGTTGATAATCTCCTGTCAATAATTGATTACAAAAGGATGATATTGATTTGGAGTTTTTTCTTTATCTTTTCTTAGACAGGATCAGAGGTTGTCCAAACAATCTTTTTTTTTTTTTTTTTTTTTTTTGTATTTCTAAATATAGAAAAATTAAGTCCTAGGTTCTAATATAAAAAATTAGTCTAAAGAATATTAAAATCTTATTTTGTAAGACTATAAAAAAGTTTAGAAATATAAAATATAAGAAAATATACATAAAATAATAAATTATAATAGTCAGTTGTAGTGGTGACCAATAATGATTAGAAGTAATATAGCACAGTGATTGTTAGTCATCAACGAGTTCATAAATATAAAATTCATAAATTTTCAATTCTGAATATATTTTTTCTTTTAAAATAACATTTTTTAGTCAAAAAATTAATTTCTATTAACTAATTTTCTCTAACATCTTAAACATCATAGAACGTAAAAAATATAATTTTTCGACTAAGTTAGAAACAAACAGACATATCTAAAAAAAAACATTTAATTTGATTATGAACTTAATTAAAATCTTAAAATGAAATTGCAATTAATTTATGGGAAAAAATTAACATAGAGTCACTTTCATTAAAAAAAAAAAAAACAAACGACTAGGCAAATGTAGACTGACATAACATGAATTGAAGTCAATTAAAATTCAACATTTAAAAAAAAAAAATAAATAGTAAGCAAATGGCATGACGAGGGTGCCATTTGTTTTCTCATCCACAAAAACGACTAAGCAAATAACAAAATTAAGGTGTGGACAGCAATGAATAATGTCACACTCCATAGATGCAATTATTGTCATTCCTCAATTATTTTTTTTTATATTTTTTAATTTTTGTAACACAATGGAATTATTCTTAGAATAATGAAAAGGATTGTTAAGGTTGCACTCCTGATTTAGTAACTATTTCACTATTAAATTACCATTCCAATTCTTCTCCACAAGAAGTTATTGGCTCAAGGGTCAAATTTTAATCTCGGAATTTTGATGATTAAAACAAAATAAATAAATTTAAATTATATTATTTGTGCTAATATTATGCAGAAATCTTATGGAAAGAAAACGAACAAGGCAAGTCCTACATTAAATGTGAAGATATCCGAAGACCCTAGTGATTAGGTATTTAGAATGCATTGTAGGATAGAAAGAAAATTCATCTATAAACACATAAACTAATTTTTCTCTCATTCAAAATATTTTTCGGAAATTAGTTTCTTCAAAATAATTTCTTTCGTAGGAAATTAGTTTCTTCAAAATAATTTCTTTCGTAAAAAATTCTGTTTTCGAAAATATGCTTTAAGAATCGAAATGATTTAATTACCTAAAACTAAAGAGATTTTGTCTATAAACAATTTTGGTAATAAATCATACACTTTTTTTCCGGAAATACCTTTTGAAGATCTAAAGAATTTCAACTTATTCTCTTACCTAAAACGAAGGAAGATTGTATCTTTTTCGTTTTTAGCAAGTGGTATCTTATTCGAAAAATATTTTCCAAATAAAAATGCTTTCGAAAATCTTTTCGTTTAAAGGAAAGATCATCTTTTATTCTCTTACCAAAAATGATATTTATTCTCTTACCAAAAATGATAAAATAAATTTTTGGTAACTAAGATTTTCGTATCTTCTAAATAAGGAAAGCAAATATTCTGATTTCAAAATGAAATTTCCACTTTCCAAAAGCAAGAGACACGAAGCTCTCTATAAAAATGAGCTTTCACGTTTTGAGTTATGAGGAAGTAAGAGTTTTCGTTTTAAGAGCATTCTTTCATTGATCACATCTTTATCTCTCAAAACTTACTCTTTACCCCCCATTTTTCTTTTCATCTTTACACTTCACGTTTTTATCTTTAAAGAGAAAAGAATTTTTATAACTACTTTCGAAAAACGGTTCTGTGTTCTAAATAAGATTTTCTAATCTGATAAACTGTTTTCTATACTTATAATGTGGCATGTTTCTTTCTGTCCTAATTTAGACTCTGTAAATCTTAGGTAACATGTTTTTATTGAATAAACATTTGTGTAATATGCTTCAGGTGAAAGCTAATTGGAAAAGAGGTTATCAAAGCAAACCTTCTCCCGTGAGTAGAGTTCTAATGTCTTGATTGAGTTTCTGTACTCTAAAAAAAACAAAAGGGTTTGAGGTTTACTAAAACCTTTGGAAAAATCAGTGGGATAAAGGTAGAATCTACGTGTTAATCTATTACCTGTACTTGTTGGTTTTGTCTCTTACCTCTTGAAAAAGAGAAATAACATAGTTGAGGATCTCAAGATGAGTCTGGGGAGTGAATGTAGGGCGAGTTTAGTGCCAACCACTATAAATCACTGTGTTGATCTTTTTAAATTTCTGAAGTTTTGCTTGATACTTCTTTATTTACACTTCTGTTTATATTTTAGAAATGCTAAAGTTGTTAACGATTATGATGTTCTAAAACTGGAATAAGTCTTATCTTCTCTGAATATTAGAACTCTAGAATTCTGATAAGTGAATATACCAAGTTCTAACTATTCTTCTATTCACAGTATATTTCACTACTTGGGTTTGTAATTAATTTTCTAAACTTTATGAGGAAGTTCTAATTACAATAGCTTTCCATCATAAAGTAGTTCTAATACTTGATTAAGGCTTTGTGAAGCAGTTCTAAA